ACCCACAACCCTGGCATTGCAAACGCCATGCTCTATCAACTGCGCTATATCCCTGCCAGCCATTCCCTCCCCTACCCTGGACGAATTGTGCGCCGCCCATGAGTCTCCCGGTCGCGGCCGGCTGCGACAGAGCCTGGATTCGAACCAGGATCTCTAGTGGCACAGTTAGCACTGCGATGCAGTGCCTTAGACCCCTGCGCCACTCAGGAGTACATGAATAAAAAGTAAATGTTGGAATTAAATGGTTGGTGTATACTATGTCATTCTATATTACACAGAAATAACAACTGGCTCTTAAAAAGTAATGAACTACATAGCAAGAAAATTAACTTTGAGCAGTGACTCATTACATTTGTATCCCATATGTCAGGAAGAAGCTAACTCATTCCAAATGTTTCTGGGCTGTCAATGGGGTCTTACCTCGCAAGATGATTTTGCATCCAAACGCACCAGACGCTGAATGCTCAGAAGGAAACGCTTTCGACACTAAGTAATTGTTTTAATTCAACACAACAGGCCATAATAGTATCCGTGTTGTCTGAGAGTAAGGCATCTTAAACAATGAGACATACTGTAAGTGAAAACATACCAGTAATCAGTATTAGGGTAACACTTTATAACAACTTTCACTTAAAAAATAATTAGTAGGCCTATTTCATGAATTTGTATTTCATTATTTGTAAATATTTATAAACATTTATGAGCATGTATAAGGGTCGTTCCACGAAATTAGTTCCTTTTGTGTCCCTTTTATATTTTAAGTAGAAATTGTGCACCAATATAGAATTTTTAAAGCCTGTTGGATTAAATGAAGTGCCCTTTAATATAGAACACATGGAGAATCCAATAATAAAAAAATAATGAATAAAAGTTTGCTAAAGTGCCAAAATTCAGCATTTTGACATGTCCCTCCATCAACACGTGTGTCACTTCTAGGAAGATTTCAACCCACTTAATCATAAAATGTATCCACGATTCACCATCATTGTAAAGCCCTAGTTATTTTTATTGCTTTGACAAAGTAATCTCTGAAGATTATTATTTATTTCATGTGATTAGGGATTAATTTACGTCTGTCCCTCATTTTAAGGTGAACCCTGTTACGTGAACTGAACTCTTGTTTTAATATGGTGAAACTATTCCTTTTAAAATATTTTTTTCAAAAGAAACATTGAACATCTAATAGTCAAATCAGAGTGTAAAAGCAGGTGAGCTGATTCTACTCTTTTTGTCCATTTTGTGGTGTTTTGTGGCGTAAAACTGAGCGGTCGAGCATAACATATCAACCCTGTTACCCATTGGCTAGAAATGTTTTAGCAATAATCTTTGGGGGTTGAAGCTTGCATTCAATTGCCACTCCCTGTTGCACACAGCAAGCTTCCATTCCCCCTGTCACAAGGAGATTTATGACTGATTTAAGATGAAATCGTCAACCTTGTGTCACGATCGTCGTAATGAGTGGACCAAGGTGCAGCGTGATATGCGTACATCTTTTAATTAGTACTTTACCAACACGATACAACAACAAAACAACGAAACGAAACGAAACGTGAAGTCCTCGGTCATAAAACACAAACCTAAACGGAACAAGATCCCACAAATGACAAGTGCACAACAGGCTGCCTAAGTATGGTTTCCAATCAGAGACAACAAGACACAGCTGCCTCCGATTGGGAACCACCCCGGCCAACACAGAAACACACGATCTAGAAAATAACACATAGAAAACAAAACATAGACACTACACATATAAACTAACACCCTGGCTCAACATATAAGAGTCCCCAGAGCCAGGGCGTGACACCTTGTTACGGTCAACCCTGTTACTTCGTTTGGCACTTAATAGTCATTTTTTTATTTAACCTCTTGAGATGGGAAAACATGTTTTTTATGAATTTGAACATGACCATGTTAAAATTAGGTGAAACTTTTTATTTTACCAAGTTGCACTTCTCAATAGGCACCGAATTAGCGGAACAACCCATAAGCATTATAAGCTTTGCAATTTATAAAAGTTTATAGTATAAAACATATATACAAATTTAGCTAGAATGTTTTTTTTAATGAAAGTTGTTATAAAATGTAACATTATTTCCATATGGAATCTCTCATATGGAAATGACAAAAAAATTTGTTGGAGTGACTAAAGCTATATGTAAGGTAACACTTTACTAAACTTCAACAAATGCAAAGACTATGTTATAACCTGACTACAATGAATGAAACTCGAAGTCAGGTAGAAAAGGTGACTTATGAAACACGTTAAAACTCTCATACATACAGTCAGATTATTCAAATGCCCTTGAAAAACAGTAACAATAGCAACAGTGACTGAAAACATGGCTCCCAATCAAGCTGCTTTAGATGCAGAAAATTGCTTACACATCTTATACAGCGATTGGAGCCCAAAATGCAAGGACAAACCTCAGAGGATACATCCCCACAAACTGTGTGTCAGAGATTGGGGTATCCACAGCAGTGGTCTGCACCTTTCCAAAACCCACCATCACGTCCATGCCCATGCATACTGGCTCCATACACTGGAGAGAATCCATACTTCTGTTTAGTCAATGAACCACACATAGGACAAAGGGCATATGATGCCAAGAAGGCCATAGGCTTAAAGCAATGATTGGCACTGTCCTGTCCATAATCCATTGCTATTGTCCTCCAACTAAGTCAGCATGAAGTTCAAATGAAGCCCCATGTTTTCATTGCTGTGCTTTATCCCATTTCACATGTTGAAATGTTTTCAATTTACTACTAGACCACCTTTTCATCAGAATTGCATCAACTATTTTTTTATTCATCAACAACTTGCACATTAATGAAGGCTGTTTTTAGCATTTTAACAAGTGAAAGGCCCTTGGGAATAGTAATGCCTTAGTTGAAAGGCAATAGAAGGTTTTATTGATTCAAGTCCTCCATCTAGTGGGCATTAATGGCCACACAGTGCAAAGATTCAGTAGGGTTTATCAGTCATGTCTTCGATAAATTCTTCAACCTGAATTCGCCCAATTTTGCTTGGCTATGAATTAAAGCTACTTGTACATTTAATTGACATACATTCCCATGTTACATTACAGATAGGCGTAGGCCTACTTTACCAAAGACAGGATGTGATCTCATAAGAAATGACTGAGCACTTTTATCCCTCTCTCTTTAAATACTGGCTTAAATAACTGATATATCACAAGGATATACTACTTCATCATTGTTTGCATGCTAACAGTCCAAACAGGTAGCATCATCGAGCTAACTACTTAAGGGACATAACTTCAAGTTTGACAAATATAATGTCTCTACCTTATATATGTCTAACTTGGAGTTAAGTGCCTTAGCTATGTGCCAATGAAACAATACTATTGTTGATTCTTCTAAAGCTGATGACATCCATCATAATTTCCCTCATCCCTACACGAAGCATACGTATTTCATCTACTACATATGTCCGTCATACGTTTTTTATTTTCTATATTTTATCATCCAATTGCTACACTACTATAAAAACATCATTTTGATTAATGAAGCATGCACGATTAATGAAGCAAGTTGAGGAGACTAAACTGCTTGGAGTAACCCTGGATTGTAAACTGTCATAGTCAAAACATATTGATGCAACCAACAGTAGCTAAAATGGGGAGAAGTCTGTCCATAATAAAGCGCTGCTCTGCCTTCTTAACAACGCTATCAACAAGGCAGGCCCTACAGGCCCTAGTTTTGTTGCACCTGGACTACTGTCCAGTCGTATGGTCAGATGCCACAAAGAGTGACTTACGAAAATTACAATTGGCACAGAACAGGGCAGCACGGCTGGCCCTTAAATGTACACAGAGATCTAACATTAATAATATGCATGTCAATCTCTCCTGGCTCAAAGTAGAGGAGAGATTGACTTCATCACTACCTGTATTTGTGAGAAGTATTGACATATTGAATGCACTAGCTGTCTATTTAAACCACTAGCACACAGTTCAGACACCCATGCATACCCCACAAGACCTGCCACCAGAGGTCTCTTCACAGTCCCAAAGTCCAGAACAGACTATGGGAGGCGCACAGTACTACATACCACACTACTACCACATTGCCTTACCTCCATAACTTGCTACATTTGCACACACTGTATATATATTTTCTGTTGTATTTCTGACTTTATGTTTTTTACCCCTTATGTAACTCTGTGTTGTTTTTATTGCACTACTTTGCTTTATCTTGGCCAGGTCGCAGTTGTAAATGAGAACCTGTTCTCAACTGGCTTACCTGGTTAAATAAAGGTGAAATAAAAATAAAAATAAAAAATAGAGCCATGTCTACATGGAACTCTATTCCACATCAAGTAACTCATGCAAGCAGTAAAATCAGATTTAAAAAACGGATACAAAGTACACCTTATGGAACAGTGGGGACTGTGAAGAGACACACACACAGGCACAGACACACGCATACACACACACATGATAACATATGCACTATACACACATGTACACATGGATTTTGTGTTGTAGATATGTGGTAGTAGAGTAGTGGCCTGAGGGCACACACTTGATGTATTGTGAAGTCTGTTGTGAAATGTATTGTAATGTTTTTAAAATTGTATATATCTGCCTTAATTTTTTCTGGACCCCAGGAAGAGCAGCTGCTGCCTTGGCAACAGCTAATGGGGATCCATAATAAATAGAAATACAAATGCAAAAAAAATTCTGTAGAAAATGTACCTTTATCTAAAAAATATATTTTTTCCATTAAAAACTGTATTATAGTCTTCTTCTTCTTCTTCTTCTTCTTCTTCTTCTTCTTCTTCTTCTTCTTCTTCTTCTTCTTCTTCTTCTTCTTCTTCTTCTTCTTCTTCTTGTAACCTGTGGCCAGGTATCAGAATGGGCTCATGTCTCGTATTGTATTTTCCTGCAACGATTGTATTGGCTAAAATCAACCATGTGCACGCAGTGACAGCCAATGAAACGTCTGCTTCCGCATTCATCAAAGTCTCCTGCGAATCAGTAGAACTTTACATATGGCGTTTTGGGCATGTTGTTGAAGCTTGGCTGTAAATTAGATACGAAATATTTGATGTAAATAAGGGTGTATTGATTTCAATATAGGCGAAACAATTGAGGATTAAGAGTTCGGAATTGTTTCACTACCATCATTTGTAGCTCTATTTCGAAATGCCGTTTGGGTGAGTATAGCTGCAATTATTTCAAATTTGTTCTAGCATAGGCAAACTTACTAACTTTTCTCACAACGAATTGTCCCCGATCAGTAAGTACGTCTATTATAATCACTCAGCTGCTTATGTTGTGGAAAATATTTTTGCATACTTATGTTATCAAAACTGCCATAGCCTGGCTTGTTGGCATTTTTGTGGATAATGACCTACATTTCTCTAATGTTAGCTCAACAGTGGTTTGAAAATTGTCTTAACATTTAAATTCGTTATCCTTGTGTGTAGAGTTGTTCCGCACTTCTTTATTATCAGTGGTCCACACCCTATGGCCTGCTGAGTCATTGCAGAGGAAAAACGTGATTTCTCTCAATGTCTTAGAAATCTCTTCCGGAGACCATGGTCATCCACAGCCAGACTTGATGACAAAACAGTACTCATAACTGGAGCCAACACTGGTATTGGCAAAGAGACAGCGCTGGACCTGGCAAAGAGAGGTAGGCCTACAGTGATACATAAGCCATGGTGATATTTCCATACAGGAATGTGTTGTAACAATTATGCAACATGTTTCACCATGACCTGTTGAATGAGTCTTGGGCTATTTCTCAATTGGTTGTTCTTGATTCCTCAAATCCTCTCTCCTTGCCAAAATGCTTTGGAGCCCATGCTTTCCTCATGTACGTTGGGATGCCAAGCAGTAAAACACATGATTGACTAATCAATTGATCATAGTTTGCAATTTGTATAATCAGTTGTGTTACAGGTTCTCATCAATTTGCTAAAGCTTTTATGTAAATCAGAATACAACACGCAGTAGTAACTGTAGTAGTATATCAACATTTGTCCAACATGGCAGCAGGGGTGTTGTGCTGCCGGAGCGCGGAGGAGTGGAGCTGGTAAAACTATTTTTGGAAAATTAATTCGGATACATTCTAAATAAATTATATTAATTACCATGAAAAATCCATGAAAAACTATAGAATGACAAACCAAATATGTGTAGTAGCCAAGGAGCTTGACCCTCTTCAAGTTGCCCTAGTCCTGCTTGGGATATTTAGCCTAAATTGGCTATTGGTTGAGACCAGAGGAGGTTGCTGAGGGGAGGACGGCTCATAATAATAGCTGGAACGGATCGAATGGCATCAAACACATAGACACCATGTGTTTGGTACCATTTCACCTATTCCGCTCCAGCCATTACCATGAACCTGTCCTCCCCAATTAAGGTGCCACCAACCTCCTGTGGTTGAGATGTAGGGTCCGTACTAGCTTGGTATGTCAGGGTGGGCAATTGGTAATGTGAATTGGGCCAAGTTGAAGGTAAAAATGCATTTAGGTTATAGTTTAAGATGCGTGAATACACCACACCAAAAGCTTGATTTTATGGCTGTTTTAAAACTAATTTCTAGGTAGTAATGATTTATGTTCACTTCCTTTCAGCACAAGGAAGGGGGCTCCAATCGCTTAAAAAGACATCTCATCAAGATCTGTTGTCTACGCCTAATAGTCATACTCATCTTATTATTATTACAATTACAAATATATAATCACTTCTAACGATGGTGCTCATTTAGTAAAATTAGATCAAAGCTGAATCAATGTCTCGCACGATAACATAATGATTCATTAGCATTTTACATAACAGAACTGAATATAATAGCATAGCATAGTATGGTAGGCCTATAACGTTACTGTTACAGCAAAAAACCCTCCTCATTTCTAATGAGATTTTAAGATGGTTAGCTGAAGCTGAATAGTTTTCCCATGCGCCTGTTGTGGGTTATGCATGGTTGTCTGACTATGCAGGATATACAGTGCATTCTGTAAGTATTCAGACCCCTTTTTCCACATTTTGTTTCCCTCAACCTACACACAATACCCGATAATGACAAAGCGAAAACAGGTTTTTAGACATTTTTGCAAATGTATTCAAAATAAAAAACAGATGCCTTATTTACATAAGTATTCAGACCCTTTGCTATGTGACTCGAAATTGAGCTCAGGTGCATCCTGTTTCCATTGATAATCCTTTATGTTTCTACAACTTGATTGGAGTCCACCTGTGGTAAATTCAATTGATTGGACATGAGTTGGAAAGGCACAAACCTGTCTATATAAGGTCCCACAGTTGACAGTGCATGTCAGAGCAAAAACCAAGCCATGAGGTCGAAGGAATTGTCTGTAGAGCTCCGAGACAGGATTGTGTTGAGGCACAGATCTAGAGAAGGGTACCAAAAAATGTCTGCATCATTGAAGGTCCCCAAGAACACAGTGTCCTCCATGATTCTTAAATGAAAGAAGTTTGGAAGCACCAAGACTCTTCCTAGAGCTGGCCGCCCGGCCAAACTGAGCAATCTGGGGAGAAGGGCCTTGGTCAGGGAGGTGACCAGGAACCGATGGTCACTCTGACAGAGCGCCAGAGTCCCTCTGTGGAAATGGGACAACCATCTCTGCAGCACTCCACAAATCAGGCCTTTATGGTAGAGTGGCCACTCTCAGCCACTCCTCAGTAAAAGGCACATGACAGCTCACTTGGAGTTTGCCAAAAGGCACCTAAAGGACTCTCAGACCATGAGAAACAAGATTCTCTGGTCTGATGAAACCAAGATTTAACTATTTGGCATTAATGCCAAGCGTCACGTCTGGAGGAAACCTGGCACCATCCCTACGGTGAAGCATGGTGGTGGCAGCATCATGCTGTGGGGATGTTTTTCAGCGACAGGGACTGGGAGACTAGTCAGTATCGAGGGAAAGATGAACGGAGCAAAGTACAGAGCGATGCTTGATGAAAACCTGCTCTAGAGCGCTCAGGACCTCAGACTGGGGCGAAGGTTCACCTTCCAATAGGACAACAACCCTAAGCACACAGCCAAGACAACGAAGGAGTGGCTTCGGGACAAGTCTCTGAATGTCCTTGAGTGGCCCAGCCAGAGCCCGGACTTTCTGTGCAGCGATGCTCCCCATCCAACCTGACAGATCTTGAGAGGATCTGCAGAGAGGAATGGTAGAAACTCCCCAAATACAGGTGTGCCAAGCTTGTAGAGTCATACCCAAGAAGACTCGAGGCTATAATCGCTGCCAAAGTACTATCATGGTCCAAACACACCAAGACAGTCGTGAAGAGGGCACGACAACGCCTATTCCCCCTCAGGAGACTGAAAAGATTTGGCATGGGTCCTCAGATCCTACAGCTGCACCATCGAGAGCATCCTGACTGGTTGCATCACCGCCTGGTATGGCAACTGCTCGGCTTCCAACCGCAAGGCGCTACAGGGGGCCAAGCTTTCTGCCATCCAGGACCTCTATACCAGGCGTGTGTCAGAGCAAGGCCCTAAAAATTGCCAACGACTCCAGCCACCCTAGTCATAGACTGTTCTCTCTGGTACCGCACGGCAAGCGGTAACGGAGCGCCAAGTCTAGTTCCAAAAGGATTCTTAACAGCTTCTACCCCCATGCCATAAGACTGCTGAACAGCTAATCAAATTGCTACCCGGACTGTTTGCATTGACCCCCCCCCCCCCCCCCCGCCCCTTTTTTTTACGCTGCTGCTACTCGCTGTTTATTATCTAATATCTATGCATTGTCACCTTACCCCTACCTACATGTACATATTACCTCAATTACCTTGACTAACCTGTACCCCCGCACATTGACTCGATACCGGTACCCCCTGTATATAGCCACTTTATTGTTGGTCTTTAATTTTTACATTAGTTTATTTAGTAAATATATTTATTTAGTTAACTCTTATTTTTCTTAACTGCATTGTTAGTTAAGGGCTTGTAAGCATTTCACGGTAAGGTCTACACCTGTTGTATTCGGCGCATGTGACAAATACAATTTCATTTGAGTAAAGGGTCTGAATACTTATGTAAATGTGATATTTCTGTATTTTTTTATGAATACATTTGCTACAATTACAAAACCTGTTTTTGCTTTGTCATTATGGGGTATTGTGTTTTAGATTGAGGATTTTTTTTTTTTAATCCATTTTAAAATAAGGCTGTAACATAACAGTGGAAAAAGTCCAGGGGTCTGAATACTTTCCAAATGTACTGTATGCTTTGATTGAAACGAAATACAAGCAAGGCTAATAGTTTGTTAACTCCATCTGCTCTAATTCGCTCACGAAACAGTAATTGAAGAAGATATAAATGCATATTCCCATGAAACTGATTGAGATCAATCAAATGATTGGCATAGAGATGCAGTTTGGACGTTTCACCGGTTAAACGTGAAGTATTATCATTCACGATTGACAGTGATGATGGCCAATTTTGAAATTAGGTTTTACAAATGTGAAGGTTTTAAAAATATCACATTTTCTTGAGACAATATGTGTGGGCATAGGTAGAGGATGCATTTTATGCATATTCTATAATTATATGCTATTCAATTGGCTACATCTGTCAGTACAAACTTTGAGGAAATTATGACACGTTTACTTTTTGTATTATTTATTTTAATGTATATTTCCTCACCTAAAAAATAGCACTACACCACTGCATAGAAGGTGAAGCCAGACAGTCTTGTTGATGTTTGTGACTGTCCAGCAGGGGTTGCTGCTGTTTATTCTTTTACCCAGATATTTGTGGGATCCTTCCATTTTAGAATTAAAAAATGTATGTAGCTATGAATGTTCTGTCAATATCCTCCTGAAAAGCCTGTATGATTGACATCCTGAGTTGAATTCTGATTAGGCTGGAATAATTTTCATCCACAATATTCCCCCAACAAATTTCTTTATAGGGGCCAGGATAATAATGGCCTGCAGAGACATGGAGAAAGCTGAGGGGGCCCTGAAAGAAGTTATAGAAGGATCTGGCAGCCAAAATGTTGTCATCAAGAAGCTTGATTTGTCAGATACCAAGTCCATCCGGGAGTTTGCAGAGACCATCAACAAGGGTAAGAGAAAGTAAGACGTGACTTGACACTTTTGTCAGTTGCTTAGTTACTCCACATGGTATCTCTATAGAGAAAATCAATTTGAATTCAATCACTTTTTGACAGCACCCCTTTTGATTTGAAAGAAACCTTCCATACATATTTGCCAATTTGTAGAAGTGCTTAGAAAGTTCATTTTTGGACCTGGATGCCAAAACATTCAATAAATAAAGGTGCTCAAAGTCGACACATTTTACGTACCCCACCATACCATGAGACATCCATGTCTCCATCACTGCAAAAGATAAACGGTTGAGGTTGATATCATTTAAAAGCTTACAAACAGGGTTGTCAAACTATTTTATAATTTCTGGAAAAAAATGCTTTTAATCAAAATTGTCATTCTTTATCTAAAACCGCGTAACAATATATATATTTTTTTATGTTCGGATATGTTGGAGCTTAGACCCTATTTTACATCAAGGTTTTTGTGTTGTGCCTGCCATTGGTTGAGAGACAACATGGTCTTGATACAGTGTGGGTGTCATGTTTTGGCTGGAAAATGTAATTCCCATTTTAGTACATTTAAACTTTCAAATGGTACCACAGTGATGGTTGGAGGTCCACACATCAGAGAATGTTGACCTGAATGGGAATATCTGTTTTAAATTATACTGTCTATCTTCCATAGGAAACCTATTGAAATCATAGAAATATAGATAATAGAATATACCATTTTAAGTTGACATTCAACGGTGGGTGGACCGGTGGTCATCTTTGAGGTACTTAGAAGTTAAAATGTCAATTTAATGTACAGTTGTGATCAAAAGTTTTGAGAATGACACAAGTATTGGTCTTCACAATGTTTGCTGCTTCAGTGTTATGATATATTTTTGTCAGATGTTACTATGGTATACTGAAGTATAATTACAAGCATTCCATAAGTGTTTATGCAAAGAGTCAATATTTGCAGTGTTGACTGTTCTTTTTCAAGACCTCTGCAATCTGTCCTGGCATGCTGTCAATTAACTTCTGGGCCACATCCTGACTGATGGCAGCCCATTCTTGCATAATCAATGCTTGGAGTTTGTCAGAATTTGTGGGTTTTTGTTTGTCCACCCGCCTCTTGAGGATCGACCACAAGTTCTCAATGGGATTATGGTCTGGGGAGTTTCCTGGCCATGGACCCAAAATGTCGATGTTTTGTTCCCTGAGCCACTTAGTTATCACTTTTGCCTTATGGCAAGGTGCTCCATCATGCTGGAAAAGGCATTGGTCGTCACCAAACTGTTCTTGGATGGTTGGGAGAAGTTGCTCTCGGAGGATGTGTTGGTACCATTCTTTATTCATGGCTGTGTTCTTAGGCACAATTGTGAGTGAGCCCACTGCCTTGGCTGAGAAGCAACCCCACACATAAATGGTTTCAGGATACTTTACTGTTGGCATGACACAGGACTGATGGTAGCGCTTACCTTGTCTTCTCCGGACAAGGTGTTTTCCGGATGCCCCAAACAATCGGAAAGGGGATTCATCAGAGAAAATGACTCAGCAGTCCAATCCCTGTACCTTTTGCAGAATATCAGTCAGTCCCTGATGTTTTTCCTGGAGAGAAGTGGCTTATTTGCTGCCCTTCTTGACACCAGGCCATCCTCCAAAAGTCTTCGCCTCACTGTGCGTGCAGATGCACTCACACCTGCCTGCTGCCATTCCTGAGCAAGCTCTGCACTGGTGGTGCCCCGATCCCGCAGCTGAATCAACTTTAGGAGACGGTCCTGGCGCTTGCTGGACTTTCTTGGTTGCCCTGACGCCTTCTTCACAACAATTGAACCTGTCTCCTTGAAGTTCTTGATGATCCGATAAATGGTTGATTTAGGTGCAATCTTACTAGCAGCAATATCCTTGCCTGTGAAGCCCTTTTTGTGCAAAGCATTGATGACGGCACGTGTTTCCTTGCAGGTAACCATGGTTAACAGAGGAAGAACAATGATTTCAAGCACCACCCTCCTTTTAAAGCTTCCAGTCTGTTATTCTAACTCAATCAGCATGACAGAGTGATTTCCAGCCTTGTCCTCGTCAACACTCTCACCTGTGTTAACGAGAGAATCACTGACATGATGGCAGCTGGTCCTTTTGTGGCAGGGCTGAAATGCAGTGGAAATGTTTTTTGGGGATTAAGTTTATTTTCATGTCAAAGAGGGACTTTGCAATTAATTGCAATTTATCTGATCACTCTTCATGACATTCTGGAGTATATGCAAATTGCCATCATCAAAACTGAGCCAGCAGACTTTGTGAAAATTAGTATTTGTGTCATTCTCAAAACTTTTGACCACGACTGTACTGTTCTGACACGGTGGTGCACATGTAGCCTATAACCTGTTTTAGAGAAATGTCATCATTGAATATTGTAAGAGCTTTCATTGTCTGCTTATATGCCACCTTTATTTATCCCACGGTTCTGACTTTGTGTACAGGGAGTACACTGTAAGAACGGCCCATGTTCTGAATTCTGTCGCTGTACATTTCAAAAGTGCTGAACAAATAGTTATATTGACTACGTCCGTCCTAGCTCCCTCATTTAATGTCTTAATTACAGATTGCCTCTTATCCAATTGTCTTCCCCTTTTGCCATAGTTTGTACATCTCAATTGTCAGTAGAAACCACATTTATTTAAGCAAGTCAGCCATATCAGCTATGGTTTTTTTTAAGGCAGTAAATGAGGCTGAATGAACTGTTTCGCTGCCAGACAAGGCTCCGCTGATAGCCAGGTGGTAAGGTGTTGGGACACTGCTGTTGGGACAGCTTTATGTAGGCCCTACCAGTTTGTGGGCACAGTTTGTCACCGTTATAGTGCAATTAATGTGTTGTGTAGTGGCTTTGCTGGCATGCATCCCCCCGCCCAACTGTTTTTTTTGCCCCACCAAGATTTACATGCTAAAATCGCTACTGCAAACATGTATGGAAAGTTGTTTTAAATCCAAAAGGAATGCTGTCGAAAAGTGATTGAATTCAAATGGATTTACCCTATACTGCTTGTATTTTACCATAGCCACCTGCTTAATGCAAACCTCAGATGCTCTTTTCAACATATACAGGCTTGATTGTATCACAACTTCATTGATACAATGGATTGATTCATTTGCACTCCTGACCAACATTTTAGACATTTCACATTTTGAATACCCTTTTCTATAGAGGAGACAAAACTCAACATCCTCATCAACAATGCTGGTGTCATGGTGTGTCCGCACGGGAAAACGGCTGATGGATTTGAAATGCAGATTGGTGTCAACCACATGGGTAAGTGAAACTATGTAGCACAGGGAAGTGGAGCAAAATTATTATTTTGGCAGACCTCACATAAATCTAAAAGAGCACGGACGTACCACATATCATTGATAAGTGAGAAGAATGTTTAACTGCGAAACGTCTGTACTAGTACCCATTCCCATAAGGAAGTGCTAATTTAGCTGCTTAAAACAGACACGGGCGCAACTATGGGGCAAAACAGACTGGGTTGGCTTAGATTGTTTACAATATGTAAGCTATTTTTCGTTTCCAATGTTTATTGAAAACATAAATAAATTATCACAATGAGCACTTGTCTCTCATACATCGTTAGTTGTTGGTTAGCTAGTTTGACTTGGTGTCAAGAACAAGGTGAAACGAGCAACTTACGATTCCCCACATGGCAGTTTGTTGTCATTCTTGCTAGCAATCTGTCCATCCAGAATCACAACACGCTGACTTCTGCCCCATGGAAGTGCGCACATCGTTTTCGTGATGTTGTCAGCTAACCCATCTGTAATATAAGGAAGTGTGATAATGAATTCAGTTATTGTCTTTCTTATGATTTATAAGTTCAGTCAACACATTCTAAAGTTATGTAGAGGAGATGTAATGAAAGGTCAGATCACAAGTGATACTAACTAATCCACTGCATTGAAGATGACCAAGAAGTCCATCACCAGAACATGATTTTTGCACAATCACATTTCAAATGCATGAATCAAATACAACTAATCAACATCAAATCTACCAATCAAAAGCTTTCAAAGCACCCCATCTTGTCGCTTAGGTCACTTCCTGTTGACCCACTTATTGATTGACCTGATCATAAGGTCGACCCCGGCCAGGATCATCAATGTGTCCTCCATGGCTCATTCCTGGGGCACCATCAACCTGGACGACATCAACAGTGAGAAGGGCTATGACAAGAAGAAAGCCTACAGCCAGAGCAAGCTAGCTAACATCCTCTTCACCCGCTCCCTGGCCAAGAAGCTACAAGGTTTGGGTTTGTCCACTACTTCTGAGGCTTATACTGTAGCTGTTTCTCTGGGTGTTTGTCATAGTTATAATCATGGAGTCCCAAAGAATCAAAAAACAATAATGACGATTATGTTATTACTGCATAATTAACATTTTACCACGTAAGTTCATAACAAATACCTGGTCATTTCTGTTACCGTAAAATAAAGTGCTACCACAGGATTTCTGAAGGTTATTTGAAGCTGCAACCCTTTTGTCAAAAGTATTGAATTGAATTGTCCTCTATCAGGCACAGGTGTGACAGCATACTCCCTCCACCCTGGCGTGGTTCAGACTGACCTGTGGCAGCACCTGAACGCACCTCAGGCAGCTATAATGAAGATGATCAGTCCCTTCACCAAGACATCCGTCCAGGGAGCTCAGACCACTATCTACTGTGCTGTGGCCCCTGAACTGGAAACCGAGAGTGGTGGATATTACAGGTAAACAAATGTGTATATACACTGAGTATACAAAACATTAACTGACCAGGTGAATCTAGGTGAAAGCTATGATCCCTTATTGATTTCACTAGTTAAATCCACTTAAATCAGTGTAGATGAAGGGGAGGAGACAGGTCAAAGAAGGATTTGTAAGCCTTGAGATAATTGAGACATGGATTGTGTATGTGTTAAATTGAGGGTGAATGGGCAAAACAAAAGATTTAAGTGCCTTTGAACGGGGTATGGTAGTAGGTGCCAGGCGCACCGGTCTGTGTCAAGAACTGCAACGCTGCTGGGTTTTTCCACGCTCAACAGTTTCCTGTGTGTATCAAAATTGGTCCACCACCCAAAGGACATCCAGCCAACTTGACACAACTGTGGTAAGCATTGGAGTCGACATGGGCCAGCATCCCTGTGGAACGCTTTCAACACCTTGTAGTCCATGCCCCGACGAATTAAGGTTGTTCTGAGGGCAAAGGAGGGGGAGAGGAGGGGGCAACTTAATATTACACTGAACAAAAATATAAACTCAACATGTAAAGTGTTGGTCCATGTTTTATGAGCTGAAATCAAAGATCCCAGAAATGTACCATACGCATAAAAACATTATGTATCTCAAATTTTGTGCACAAATTTGTTTACATCCAAGGTAAGTGAGCATTTCTCCTTTGCCAAGAGAACACATCCACCTGACAGGTGTGGCATATCAGGAAGCTGACTAAACGGCATGATCATTACACAGGTGCACCTTGTGCTGGGGGCAATAAAAGGCCACTCTAAAATGTGCAGTTTTGTCACTCAACATGATGCCACAGATATGTCAAGTTTTGAGGGAGGGTGCAATTGGCATTCTGACTGCAGCAATGTCCACCAGAGCTGTTGCCAGAGAATTTAATGTTCACGTCTCTACCATAAGCTGCCTCCAACGTCGTTTTAGAGAATTTGGCAGTACGTCCAACCGGCCTCACAACCGCAGACCACGTGTATGGCGTTGTGTGGGCGAGCGGTTTGCTGATGTCAACATTGCGAACAGTGTGCCCCATGGATGGCGGTGGGGTTATGGTATAGGCAGGCATAAGCTACGGACAACGAACACAATTGCATTTTATCGATAGCAATTTGAATGTACAAAAAGATCCTGAGGCCCATTTTTTCTTTTAAGGTATCTGTGACCAACAGATGCATATCTGTATTCCCAGTCATGTGAAATCCGTAGATTAAGGCCTAATGAATTTATTTCAATTGACTGATATGAACTGTAACTCAGTCAAATCAATGAAATTGTTGCATGTTGTGTTTGTTTTTGTTCAGTATAGGAAGGTGTTCCTAATGTTTGGTATACTCAGTGTATATGCATATGCATGATGTTTATATTTAGTTTTAAATAAATCTGTGAGTGAGATTCTTCCAGCTTCATCAATGTATTTAGTAGAGATGACATTTTCATTTGTTCTAATATTATTGTATTTGTATGTAGTATTTTATATTAAACTGTGTTAGATACATGATCATCTTGTCTGTGTGCCCACAGTGACTGCGCACAAGCCAACTGCTCAAGCTCTGCTTCAGATGACGACACGGCCCAGAAACTGTGGGAGCTAAGCTGCCAGATGCTTTCTCTATCATGGGATTGAATAACTCAGAAATAGTGTATGGTTTACATTGAGATGTATGAGCACTGAAATGCTATGAGCACTGAAGAGTACAACAAATGTACAGCATTTTAAATTAAAGTCCTTTGTCCAATGGATATATTCCAACATATCATATTATGATGTGGTATTTTAATTGAAATTATGTGGTTGACAGATCTTGTAGATGTAACATTAAAAAATACAATTTAACATGGTTGATTGCCACTGGCATTTGATGAGATGGAATACATGGTTGATATTCTTATTTTTTTATACTGTACATATATAGTCATATAATATTGCACATTATTATTATCCGTCAGGTTGGATGGGGAGTGTCGCTACATAGCTATTTTCAGGTCTCTCCAGAGATGTTTGATCGGGTTCAAGTCCGGGCTCTGGCTGGGCCACTCAAGGACATTCAGAGACTTGTCACGAAGCCACTCCTGCGTTGTTTTGGCTGTGTGCTTAGGGTCGTTGTCCGGTTGAAAGGTGAACCTTTGCCACAGTCTGAGGTCCTGAGATCTCTGGAACAGGTTTTCATCAAGGACCTCTCTGTACTTTGCTCTGTTCATCTATCCCTCGATCCTAACTAGTCTCCCAGTCCCTGCCGCTGACAAACATCCCCACATCATGATGGTGCCCGGTTTCCTCCAGACGTGACGCTTGGCATTCAGGCGAAATGGTTAAATCTTGGTTTCATCAGACCAGAAAATCTTGTTTCTCATGGTCTGAAAGTCTTTAGGTGCCTTTTGGCAAACTCCAAGCGGGCTGTCATGTGCCTTTTACTGAGGCGTGGCTTCCGTCTGGCCACTCTCTAACATAAAGGCCTGATTGCTGGAGTGCTGCAGAGATCGTTGTTCTTCTGGAAGGTTCTCCCATTTCCACAGAGGAACTCTGGAGATCTGTTAGTGACCATCGGGTTCTTGGTCACCTCCCTGACCAAGGCCCTTCTCCCCCGATTGCTCAGTTTGGCCGGACGGCCAGCTCTAGGAAGAGGCTTGGTGGTTCCAAACTTCTTCCATTTAAGAATGATGGAGGCCACTGTGTTCTTGGAGACCGTCAATGCTGCAGACATTTTTTGGTACCCCTTCCCCAGATCTGTGCCTCGACACAATCCTGTCTTGGAGCTCTACGGACAATTCCTTCGACCTCATGGCTTGGTTTTTGCTCTGACATGCACTGTTAACTGTGGAACCTTAGACAGGTGTGTGCCTTTCCAAATCATGTCCAATCAATTGAATTTACCACAGATGGACTCCAATCAAGTTGGAGAAACATCTCAAGGATGATCAATGGAAACAGGATACACCTGAGCTCAATTTCGAGTCTCATAGCAAAGGGTCTGAATACTTATGTAAATAAGGTATTTCAGTTTTTTTATTAGCTGCGATTAGGTTGCCTACCCCTGCTGTATAGCCTCACCATGGTTAAAACTATAATATTGATATCATGGGTGCTCAGTCCTTGCATTATAGCTCTATGAATTTGAGAGTGGTTATTAACCCAGCCCCATCCCTCAGCTCTTTACTATATCAGTGTCGGGGTGTTCGCTTTGTTATTGTTTCAACTGCAGATTTCCCCTTTTTAAGGGTATTTACTAACTCAGCATTTCATAATGAATTTCCACTTATTATACTTTCAGAAAATATTATCGAAGCTTTTTTTTAAACGTTCTAGTGACCTTTTTCTAAAATGATGGTATAATTTTTCTAAACACTTACAATTACCAAGGGATGCATATAGCATCATGTAACTTCCTTCAAATTTTCTATTATGATAGAGCATTAAAATATCCTTCCACCAACATGATTGTAAGTGTGTGTTTCCTTTTCTGTAATTTATATTTTGTTGGATACAGTACATTTATAGAAGTGATCAGATCTGGACAATTTGCAATATTTTTGTTTAATCGTTTCTTAAAGACATGAACATAGATATTTTCAAGATCACTAAACCTCTGCTCCACTTTTAACATTCCAATCCTTAGTTTTGTAAAATTTGACTTATATTTAATTGCCACTCCATCTGCTGCACACTACAAAGATTATTGAACACAACCAGAATAAACAAGAATAGCATGAGATGAAATAATCATTATACACAACTTTAAGATGATCTAAAATTGACCATGATACTCAGAAAGGTTGAAAGAAAAATGTCAGATTAAACTATAGTCAAAACATAACAAAAGTCAATTATATCAGGATAATACATATGTATTTTGTGAAAATCAATCACCATATGTGAAAGGTTGTCAACGTTTTACCATAAAAGAAAAGGAGTGAAAATAATTAAGCCTGTTATTTTTGTTTCGCACAAGTATTTTGAACACTTTGTCTTCTCTTGTGAAAATCCCATCTTATATTGCACAAGTTTTGCATTAATAATTTTTCTTCAAGTAACAATGTATACAGTATTGATAATTAATCGTTCAAATAATAATAAAGTTAGCCTTCTGTATGGCTAAACATCATGACCAAATCAAACTAAACTGACATTAAAAGGGTAAGCAGTGTGGGCTCTAAACTCCAAACAATCCTATCTGCCAACCAGGGCTGTGTATGTAAAATATTTTAATTTGTATCAACACGCCTATACAATCAGACTGAGCATTTCAATGGCAAAACGAGGCTCAGGGAAATAAATGATTAAAAATATATATATATTTGGCGTTATTGTCATGAAATAAACACACACAGTGATTTATCAGACAAACAGTTCTATTTTGACTTGAATACGTCTCTAAAGTATGGTAGACATGTAACTTTCTTCCTCATTATTTTCCATCAGATCCAAAGCAAGGTCATCACCATGCTCAGATTCCTGGTTTGCACCCTCTTTCAGCATGGCTACCAACGTAGACAGTGTGCTGTTGGGGTCCAGTAATTTAACCAGGGGAACATTCACACCCCTGTCTTGAAAGATAAGATTCTGTAAAGTCATGGCTAGCATTGAGTCTATGCCTAATGCAGTGAGAGAAGAATCGTCATTCAGCTCATCATTCTCAACACCAAGCGTTTCCCTGAGCACCGACTTGACGTATTCACTTGGTGACATGGACACGGTAGTTTGGTCATATCTTGCATCTACCCCTTTTTCTTTTGTTAGCCCCTCATCCGCCAGTTCGCCTAAACGTATGTTTAGGGATGCATTCTGAGCAAGAACATGATGCATCAGGTTTTTGAAATTAAACTTGCAGACAACCTGTTGTGGCCTGTTCAGCAGAAGGCATTGTTCTAGGCTCTCATTGATTTCTGCTACCCCCATGACCATCATCCCCTTTGCTGCCAGAAATCTTTGGAAATGGTCTTTGTCCAGCAAGAGACCAAGGTTCAAAGCTCCCCAGCTTATGGACTGTCCTGCAAGTCCAATGTTTCGCCTATACTGACAGAATGTGTCCAAGAAGGAGTTGGCTGCACAATAGTTTGTTTGTGATGCATTGCCAATAAAGGCAGAGATGGAGGAGTAACAAACAAAGTAATCTAACTTGCAGTGTTTTGTGGCGTGATGCAGATTCAGAGCCCCATTCACTTTGGGCTTCAGGACTTTCTCATAGAGAGATTTGTCAAGGGTTTCAATCAGGCCATCATGCAGGACGACGGCGCTGTGGAACACCCCTCTGATTGGACAAGACGGGAAACTTTCCCGAATCGCAGTAATGGTCTTCACCACTTGTGCAGAGATTGAAACATCACACTGCAAGCTTACGACTGTGGCGCCATACTGACTCTTAATGTTGCTTATCTCCTGCTGTAAGTCTGGCGAGGGACTGCTTCTGGAAAGAATGACAATGTACCCTCCTCCTCGCTGTGCAATAAACTTCACTGTTTCAAACCCTAGTCCAGTTAGACCACCTGTGACAATGTACACAGAGTTCTTCTGGAAAAGCTGGTTTGGTTTAGGCAACAACTGAATGTTGGACAGTGTGCCTTTGGATTCATCTTTACCCAGTACCACAACAGGCAGGGTTTTTAAGCTGAAGTACGATTCAGACTCTTCAGCAGGCATGAAGCCAATGTTACCGGATGACACTCTCTGAAAGATGGTGGTTTCGAAATCTAAAGACTTCTTGTCCAAATGCATTGATTTGAGCCAACGGTAAATGTGAGGCTTCTCTGCTCTGATAGAACCCTTTTCCAATGCGCTAGACATTTGAACAGTCTGAATGCGAATGTTGTCATTGCCACATCTGAAGCCATTTTGTGAGATGGAGGATTGGCACTCATTTTCACATACAGCAACAATGTGTCTCACACCGGAAACATTGCATGCTTTTTCAAACTGAAATTTGTCAAATGGAGGCAAAAGGACAAATGCATCAAGCTTGTTCACATTTTGAAGCTGATCACTAAACTGTGGCAGAACGATGTTATACCATCCTGATTTGTTTGCAGTTTGGGCTAAGACCTTTGTCAAACCTGAGTCAGGAACGGATGAGATGATGCCCAACCTCTGTTGTTTGACTTTGGGTAATGCACGATGCAAGACTTCCCATGCAAGTATAAAGTAGGACACACAGGGTGCCTCCTTCAGAAATGTGAGCCTCTTTGTCTTGTAGCATGCTGCTTCAGGAATCACAATCTTAGAAGATGCAGCAATGGGATAACATGAAACTACATGGTCTCCCACTTTCAGTTTGCTCACATCTTTCCCTACAGCTGTGACAGTTCCACTGAAGTCTAGAGCGAAAAGCTGGTGGTTGTGAGTTGTGTGTTTGTTCCAGTACATTGTCGGGCCATAGTTCATATCAGAGACACTGACAGGAAAGTAGTCAGAAGAATGAACACAAATCTTACTGAGCTGAATCTCAACTGAATTCTCCTTGATGTTCTTATCCTCAACATCACAGGGAATGGCAGACAGGCTAGTCATTCTGTATGGGTTAGCAGTCTGAAGGATGAACTCCTCAGACTTGAAAGAGTGGACATTTTCCTGTGAGTTGTCACTGCTTTCAGTGGGAGTGTGTACTATGTAAGGTTTTAGAATCTGTCCATCTTTCACCACCAATTCTGGGTATTTGCTGCAGGGGAATGAGTCAAGAACCTGAGACAGAACTCTGATGTCCTCTGTAGAGACAGAGCTGATGTCAATCAGCTGGAAGGAAAGATCTGCCATTTCTGCAGCACACGATCTAGTCATGCCTGACAGGACAAAGCCTGCACTGATGCAGTCCACTGTGTTCTCTGCTGACCGGTAGGTTATTACTCTGATGGAGTTTGGAAATTTCATGGCCTTCAGTTCCAGGACTATTTGTCGGAACATCTCACAGCAGCTTACCATGTTCTCCAGGATAGCCTCTGTTTCGTGGGAGGTGACATTGTCAATGCTCCACACAAACAAGATTTCTGCAAAGCTTTTCAGATCTGAGATTTTGAATGTAGACAACAGTGCTTTCAATCCACGGCTCAAGAGATCATTAGCATGTGTGAAAGAGATGTATTGAGACTGTGAGCTCAAATGTTTTTGCATGGCTTCAGATACACCCATCTGGTCAGCGAAGACCAATGCCTTGGGATTATTAATGGGCTTGTAGTCATCAGAGACAACACTGAAGTCATTGTGGAAGAAGTACTCTTCAACAACATTAGATTGGCTCCGAAGATACTTGACTATGACATGCTTCAGTTCAACCAAGACCCGACCTGCTTTGTCGGTGAAACAGCCAGATACTTCGAAATGGTCGGCTGCAACGTTTGCGGCTCTCAAATATAGAACCATTTCAGGCTGCAGGGGTTCGTGAACAGTCAAACTGCCTATTTCTGCAGGGAAGCCAGGCCTTGCCATGAATGCATTCACTATTGTGATTGGAGTCAGTTGTAGCAAGTAGTCTAGCACTACAGGGTGAATGCAGAAATCATGCAACTGAGGCAGTAGTTCATCAGGGACAGTCACAACAGAGATGGCTTCCATCAAGTCTGCACCATAATGCACATCTCCCTTGTTTCTGAAAACAGAACCATACTGAAACCCTCTCTTACTTAGGTAATCATAAAAGTAATCAGTACTCATAGTTGATGTGCATCGCTTGTAAACTGAGTCTAGAGAGATATACTGTTCTTCAGCCAACCTCCCTTGCTTGCATGATATGCTGCCTGATGCATACGTTGCTGTAGGAGATTGTATCTTAAACATTGTCTCGTTTTCAATGTGATCCAGTTTGACACTCATCTCTGGAGAATTTGGCGAAATTAGAAATGGACTCTGAAAACTGACACTGAGTTGCAGCGTGTTGAGTGGCACCTTTGATTTGGAACTGGCCATGAAGGCAGCCAAACCCAACTCAGCATAGAGGGCACCAGGGACAATGGCAACATCATTGTTTCTATGGTCCTGCAGGTAAGACACTGAGGCTGAGGCCAGATCACAACTGAATGTTTTTCCATCATTGCCTGTCTGAGTTAACACAGGATGACTGCCCGATGTATCTTTCTGTGCTACCTCAAAGATGACATTTTTCTTCACACAATTGAACTGATACATTGGGGTAGGTGTTGGGGATGTCTCACAACCTCTGTAGAACTTGTCCCAGTCTACCTGAACCCCCAACTCAAACAGTTTGGACACAGTGTTCAGCATTGTCTCATGATCTTTATCTTGCTGCACTGATGTGAGCACTTGTGTCTCATTTCCCAGAGTCTCCTGGATGTTCCTTTGTAGTGCCCTTCTAGGTCCTATCTCTACAAAGACCACATTGTTTTTGTCTTTGGTTGCTGATCTCACAGCCTGTTCAAATGAAACAGGCTCTCGAATGTTCCTGGCCCAGTATTTGCCTGTGCTGAAGTCTGGCTGCTCTACCGCCTTCCCTGTCACTGTGGAGAACAATTCTGTCTCAACATGATTCACCTGTAAAGAGCCAATACTGTCCTCTAGTTGAGAGAGGATGGGATCCATCATCTGGCTGTGGTATGCAGCAGGGACATCCAGAACATGGAGGAACAGATTCTTACTCTTGACTGAGTTGCTTAGCTTTTGATGGAGACTGTCTATAGCATCAGCATCACCTGCAAGGGTGCAGGACTGTGGGCTGTTGGAGGCAGCCAGGCAAACCTTATTTAAGTAGGAGGGAAGGAGGTTCAAGACCTCTGACACAGCCATGTTACTGACCACAAGCATTTTCCCCCCTGTGACCTTATTCTGCAGAGTACTGCGGAAGTAAATCACCTTCACTGCATCCTCAAGGGACAAGAGACCAGAGCAGTGGGCAGCAGCAACCTCTCCAACAGAGTGGCCAAGAATGGCATCTGGTCTGATTCCCCAGTGCTTGAAGAGACTGGCAATGCCAACCTGAATAGCAAAGAGTAGGGGCTGGACAACATCTGGTTTTGAAAAGTCGTCATCAACTGATGCACTTTCCAGTCTCTCTGTGATGGACATTCTTTGGTACCTTTGAAAAAGCGCCTCAACCTCCCTGATCTTCTCTCTGAACACTGGTTCCTGTTTCAGGAGCTGCTTGCACATGCCTTGGTAGGCCACACCATTCCCACAGAAAACAAACACTAACTTTGGATCTAGTTTGGAGGGGACAATCTTTTTGTTCAAAGCAGATTTCAGCTGGTTTCTCAGATCAACCAGAGAGGATGTTGTGAATGCCTTCCTGTATTTATGTTTCATGTGGCTTCTTCTACAGGCTGATGTATATGACAGACCCTGGAGTTCCACTGTTTTGTCTGCACTTATCTGTTCAGCTGTGTCCTGTACCATCATGGTAAGGGATTTTTCTGAGGCTGCTGAAAGGACAAAATACTCATATGACCTTTCAACCCTGGCTGTTTGGGTGTGAGAGTTGTTGTACTGTTTAACAATTGTGTGGGCATTTGTGCCTCCAAAACCAAAATTATTGATCCCTGCAACCCGTTCGACGGAGCCTGCATTTCCCCACTTTTCTGCTTTAGTGGGAACCTTTACGTTTAAGGCTTTAGCATCTATACTGGCACTGTCCTCAGAGTAGAAGAGTGAAGGGACAATGGTTTCATGCTTCATCATTAGGAGTACCTTGATTAGCCCTGCCACTCCAGCTGCAGATTCTGTGTGTCCAATGTTGCCTTTCACAGAGCCGATGCGGAGTGTCTCTGAACCTGGAGGTCTGGCTTTGGCAATGACTTTGGAGATGCTGCCTGCTTCTATGGGATCCCCCACTGGAGTTCCAGTCCCATGAGCCTCTATGTACTGGACAGTTGACAGGTCAGACTCTGAATAGATTCTGCGCAGAAGATCCTCTTGTTGGACCATGGATGGCTTGGTGATTGGAGTGACAGTGTGGCCATCTTGGTTTACTGCAGTTTTGCTTATGATGCCCCATACGTGGTCACAGTCTTTCAAGGCCTGTAAAATATTTGAAATTCAACAGAACTGCTGATGTCATGTTTGATAGACCAGTGTCTGTGCCAACCTTTTACTGCATGAAACACTACATGGAACTGTTGGGCTCCACCCTAAATGGCTATTGGTATGTCAAATTGTACAGTATATGCAGATCTGCAATAAAACTGTCAAGTAAAGTCATAATGATTAGAAATAAGAGTTTGTCTATTGCAGTCTAAATAAAATTGGTTATAAAGGATGTTAAATACAGTATATGTCATATGTTAGTCATATTCTAGAAGTTTTGACTAAATGAAAGCTTGAGAGTTAATTCAATGCATCAAATACTCCCAGACACATTGTATAGCCAGCCTGGCTAAATGTTTGCCCAGTTTGAATATGTTTGAACTGTACTGCAAAGAGTGCAAACTGACGAAATCGTAAGCACTCACTTGTTTCAGTGGCTTCAGCAGAATAATCCCGCAGCCCTCTCCTCTGCCATAGCCATCTGCTCTACTGGAGAAAGGTTTGCTGGTGCCTTCAGGTGAAATCATCTTTGCCTTGCTGAGAGCAACAAAGACTTGTGGATCTATGATACAGCTTACACCGCCACAGAGAGCCATCTCGCAGTCACCTGGTAGGACAAACACGTTTTAATATAATTGCAGGTGCCACTCAAACAGTGCTTTTTCATGTAGTTGAAAATGGGCTAATAGTCAAACATATGATTCTAACTTTTGCTTTATGTTTTTTGAAATTACCCTCTGGGCACAATTGGTAGGTTGACAGGGGTAGCCTGCATGAAATCTAGGTTACATATTAAAACAAGCAATCTAAAATAATCTAGCAATCTATAATCATCAATGCTAGCAAAGCAATTATCTTGCTCACAATTTGATAAAAGAGTTGTACCTTGTTTTATGGCTTGACAAGCAAAGTGCAGAGCCACAAGAGATGATGAGCAGGCGCTGTCTATGGCAACTGATGGACCAGTGAGGTTGAAGGTGTAGGATATCCGGTTGGCTGCAATACTCATGGCTTTACCAGTGCCAGTCCAATGGTTGGCCAAGCATGGATCGTACTGGGCGGTTGTGATATCGTAGTCTCTGTTCATTAGTCCTTTCATAGAGAATTGAAAGTGATATTAGTAACAATCATGGTATCACAACATCACACTTATCTGTAAAGTAAAAAAAAAGTATATTACCTAGGTATACTCCAGTCCTAGTTCCGCTAGCTTTCTCCATTGGCATCCCAGCATTCTCTAGTGCCCTATAGGTGCAGTGCAGCAAGAGTTTCTGCTGAGGGTCCATGTAGTCGGCCTCAGCATCGGTGATACCAAAAAACCTCAGGTCTAGTTCATTAAAGCTGAGAATAAAAACATTAACCAGTAAACAAGAGTGGAAAAGGCAATCAGAAGCTGGGAATTCGGAGGTAAAAGCATTTGTATATTTTATTTTTAGGGGGTAGATCAGCTTTAATATTGCAGATAGATTGTCGCTTCCATCAATGTAATTGTCTGCATCACTTCCAATCCCCCATATATTTATTTGCGAACATACATACATACATACAGTACCAGTCAAAAGTTTGGACACACCTATTCATTCAAGGGTTTTCCTTTATTTTTACTATTTTCTGCATTGTAGAATAATAGTGAAGACATCAAAACTATGAAATAACACATATGGAATCATGTCGTAACCAAAAAAGTGTTAAACAAATCAAAATATATTTTAGATTTTAGATTCTTCAAAGTAGCCACCCTTTGCCTTGATGACAGCTTTGCACACTCTTGGCATTCTCTCAACCAGCTTCATGAGGTAGTCACCTGGAATGCATTTCAATTAACAGGTGTGCCTTGTTAAAAGTGAATTTGTGGAATTTCTTTCCTTAATGCGTTTAAGCCAATCAGTTGTGTTGTGACAAGGTAGGGGTGGTATACAGAAGATGGCCCTATTTGGTAAAAGACCAAGTCCATGTTATGGCAAGAACAGGTCAAAGAAGCAAAGAGAAACGACAGTCTATCATTACTTTTAGACATGAATAGTCAATACGGAACATTTCAAGAACTTTGAAAGTTTCTTCAAGTGCAGTCGTAAAAACCATCAAGCGCTGTGATGAAACTGGCTCTCATGAGGACCGCCACAGGAAAGGAAGACCCAGAGTTACCTCTGCTGCAGGGGATTAGTTCATTAGAGTTACCAGCCTCAGAAATTGCAGTCCAAGTAAATGCTTCACAGAGTTCAAGTAACAGACACATTTCAACATCAACTGTTCAGAGGAGACTGCGTGAATCAGGCCTTCATGGTCGAATTGCTGCAAAGAAACCACTACTAAAGGACACCAATAAGAAGAAGAGACTTGCTTTGGCCAAGAAGGGCTATTTTGACCAAGAAGGAGAGTGATGGAGTGCTGCATCAGATGACCTGGCCTCCCCAATCACCCGACCTCAACACAATTGAGATGGTTTGGGATGAGTTGGACCGCAGAGTGAAGGAAAAGCAGCCAACAAGTGCTCAGCATATGTGGGAAGTCCTTCAAGACTATTGGAAAAGCATTCCAGGTAAAGCTGGTTGAGACAATGCCAAGAGTGTTCAAAGCTGTCATCAAGGCAAAGGGTGGCTACTTTGAAGAATCTAAAATCTAAAATATACTGTACATATTCCTATTTTTAAATATATTTTCCTTTATTACTTTCTAACCCTACCACCCCTCCCCTAATTGGAGTAAGCTAGTGAACAACAACGCTTAGGCCTCTACTTCCAGCTTATACATACTCTATACATTTTATGGACACAGACTATTTTACAATAGTTCTAATTTGTTTGTTTTTACTCCTGTCCTTCCTCTACCCTCAACCTCTACCATCTATTTCTGATGTTTTTGATTTCTATTTGCCATATCTTTCAAACTGTGCTCTTTCACAAAAGTTCTTAACCTATAACCTATATACGTTTTACGGACACAGTATGTTTTACATTAGTTATGTTGTTGTTATTAGTTGTTATTAGTCCCAACCTTCAGCTCCATTCAACCCCTCCCATATATCTATTAACATCATCCATATTGAATTTCTATTTGCCATATATTTTTCAACTGTGCTGTGATGTTTCACAAAAGTTCAGAACCTTTCTATTCTCATTGTTTCTGCAGATTGTAAATTGAAAATAATTATTTATGCTAAAAGTATTATTAGATTATTGATCGATTGACTATGACTTTTCAGATCACCCAGTAGTGCTATATGCAGGGTTAGCTCCAGGTAAATATAGCAATTCTTCAGCCATTCCTGAACCTGTGAACTAAAACAAGCTATATATGGACAGTACCAAAACAAATGATCTAATGATTCTGTCTCTTCGCAGCGAAATCTGCAGAGCTGCGAAGGTTGTATCCCCCATATAAATAACATTCTATTGGTTGCAAGAATTTTGTATAATAATTTAAATTGATCAATTCTAAGTTTTGAATCCGGCATCGTTTTGCATATCAGTTCATTACATTTACATTTTGACTTACAGTTAGTGAGTGCATACATTTTTCATACTGGCCACCATGTGCCATGGAATCGGTACGTCAAAAATCTCTTCCCAACTTTCGTAATCTATATGGCACGGCTGTCAATTTTCTGGTCCTTAAATTAAACTGGTATGCTTTTTTATTTATCACAATTCTCTTTAACCAATTATGGTCTTTAATGCAGGGCCGACAGAAATGTTCCTTACTTTTTCCCCCTTCCACTTTCCTCTTCCATTTTTGCGGTAATGCTGCAATTAGATGGTTGTAATTTTGGGTAGAGCAGACATTTCCATTTGTTTTTGTTAGCTGAATGTGTGACATAACTCCACCAGTCCTACCTATGATATAATTTACGAAGATTATGCCTTTTTTAAACATTTTCAAAAAAGAAAAATGCTTTTTTATCAATTGGTATATTTGAGTATAACAACAATATTTGTTGTATTATTTGTTCTGTCGTTTCTGGTGGATGAAATTGAAATTGCAACCAACTTTCTATGGCTTGTTTTAGAAATAGTGATATTCTTACTAATTTGCTAGAGAACCAGTTTGGATTGAAGTATAACTTTTGTATGACTGAAGCCTTTAGTAAGAGGTCTAATGCTTTAATACTTAATAATTTCTGTCCTCCGAATTCATATTCATTATATAAGGCCTGTTTAATTTTGTCTGGCTTGCCGGTCCAAATAAAATGGAATATTTTTTTCTCATATAATTTAAACAACTGTTCACTAGGTGTAGGCAGGACCATAAGCAAATAGGTAAACTGGGCTATTACTAAAGAGTTAATCAGGGTGATTTTTCCACAAATAGACAGGTATTTCCCTTTCCATGGTAGCAAGATCTTATCTATTTTTGCTTACTTTCTATTAAAATGTATTGGAGTGAGATCATTTCTTTCTTTCGGGATATGTACAGTGGGGAAAAAAAGTATTTAGTCAGCCACCAATTGTGCAAGTTCTCCCACTTAAAAAGATGAGAGAGGCCTGTAATTTTCATCATAGGTACACGTCAACTATGACAGACAAACTGAGAATTTTTTTTCCAGAAAATCACATTGTAGGATTTTTTATGAATTTATTTGCAAATTATGGTGGAAAATAAGTATTTGGTCATCTACAAACAAGCAAGATTTCTGGCTCTCACAGACCTGTAACTTCTTCTTTAAGAGGCTCCTCTGTCCTCCACTCGTTACCTGTATTAATGGCACCTGTTTGAACTTGTTATCAGTATAAAAGACATCTGTCCACAACCTCAAACAGTCACACTCCAAACTCCACTATGGCCAAGACCAAAGAGCTGTCAAAGGACACCAGAAACAAAATTGTAGACCTGCACCAGGCTGGGAAGACTGAATCTGCAATAGGTAAGCAGCTTGGTTTGAAGAAATCAACTATGGGAGCAATTATTAGGAAATGGAAGACATACAAGACCACTGATAATCTCCCTCGATCTGGGGCTCCACGCAAGATCTCAGGAATGGGCCAAAATACCAGCAACAGTGTGTGAAAACCTTGTGAAGACTTACAGAAAACGTTTGACCTGTGTCATTGCCAACAAAGGGTATATAACAAAGTATTGAGAAACTTTTGTTATTGACCAAATACTTATTTTCCACCATAATTTGCAAATAAATTCATAAAAAATTCTACAATGTGATTTTCTGGAGAAAAAATTATGAGTAACAGTAGGACTAGTAGCAGTGCTAAAAAAGAAATGGTGAGGGTCAGGGAAACTTCATACTAACCCATCTATGAGAGCAGCTTTGCTAGTGTGAGTCTTTCCAGGTTTGCTGTTGTCAGCATCATACCAGTAAGTACTGTTAAACCTCTCGTTAGGGATTGGCAATGCACAGTTCTTCCCTTCCAGAAGAACCTTCCAGAAATTGTCAAGCCCCTCACCTGGAATTGAATATGTGTTGTATCAGAATAGGAAATACATTGGAATTGTTTTAACATTAATAAGTAACCTATGTATACATATTTTTAACAAAATGTTTTTCCTAACAATGTATATCGTTTTTGAAACAAATTGTAACTCGTTTATAAATAAAACATTTAAAATTATAGCTACAGATGTTAAAACAGTCATAGATTAAAATGTCTACATTCATGTTATTGCATGAATCAATACCCAAGTTAGCTGATGTTTCATAATAGTTGTAATCTCTGTAGTCTGGGGTTTTACATTGCTGGCATTGTAATTATTTAATTAATCAACATAAATTAAGCAGCTTCATATCCCACTGGGCAAAAACTGTTTGAATTAACGTTGTGATGACATTGAATCAAAGTGGAAAACTGATTGGATTTGAAAAAATGCATCAATTTAAGGGAATTTCGTATTTTATTCACCCAACTTTTAACCTAAATCCAATGACATGGTGAAATGTTTTGTTGATTTCACGTTGAATTCACATTAGTTGACAACTCATCCAAATGTAAATCAAAACTAGACGTTGAACTGACGTCTGTGCCCAGTGGGATGGTGCTATAAGAAGTGAAAACATTCCATAACTGCCCCTCCCCCTCTTTGCATATAGCAATTAACCGTGATTTGCCTAGTGATTCTAGACCTTTTGTTTTCTCATACACCTGTACAGTAGTTTTAGTAATCTCAAATTGCTTTAAAGCTAGAATCCTTAGTTGCGACATCCATTTTTGAATACGGTCAGGTCCAAAGTTATTTACATCCTTGATAAAGATGAGCAAAAAATACTGTATAAAAAATGTTTTTTAACGTAAATGTAAATGAACACTTGTATAGCTTAAAAACATGATTAAAATGTATTAATTTGATATCATGGTCAGTCCTTGCATCCATAGCTCTGTCTAGGAATTTGAGAGTGGTTACATTTCTCTAGGCCCATCCTGCAGCTTTTCACCAATACAGAAGCAGGGTGACCGCTTTATTGTTTCAACTGCGGATTCTAGCTTTAAAGTGATTGAAAATATAAACTGAAATGAATTACAATACTTGAGAGAACTAGCTTCATCACAAAAAAAGGTAAACTGTCAAACCTCCAGGGAAGCTGCATCCCATGCCAACCACTGCAATGGCTCCCTCTTCCTCCTCCATGCTGGCTGTCTGTCACACCAGCTGGACACTGAAATGCATGCACTTGTTTCTAAACTTCAAGTATAAACTCAGCTCAGATAGAAGTTCCTTTGGCTCATTGGCTCACCTGCATTGTCTTTATATCCGTAAGGACAGATAGCAGCCCTGTAAGGAAATGCTGATTCAGTTCCCCAGAAATACCCAAGTGCAATCACTGCTCTAAATGAATTCCAGGAGGTGAATGAGTTATTCATTTTATCCAGAGGTTCCTTGGTAAATTGATATCCTCAACCAGATACAGTTCCTCATTACTCATAAACTATCCTGACAAGTCATCTTATCGTTCACAATAGGACACTCTATTGTAAGTCGCGCTGGATAAGAGCGTCTGCTAAATGACTAAAATGTAAATGTAAAATGACTGATTATCCAGCCAAATTTGTTCAAAAGAGCTTATCTGAGATCCATTTTTCCTTTGCCTGATATAGAATCTGTTAATTACATTTAGAAACTAAAATGTTTTCTTCTTACCTTTTGGGGTGTACATAGTCAAGAACCTTAACTGAAACAGTTTGTAAAAATGATAGGAAACCAGAACTGTCACTGTAATGATCAAATTAGTCATTACTAATTAGTTGATCATTCCATTCTCCACGAACCATTAGTAGTATTTTGTAATAATCTGCAAATCTCAGTGAAATGTGTGTACTGAGGAGAGAGATATTTGCTGAGGGCATGGAAAACTCAAGGTGAGCTGATAGGGTGACATTAAAGTCTGCCAGTACCTGATTTACATGGTAGCCAATTTGAGTTTTACTGCTTTAATATAATGCATCAGAAGAACAGTTTATTCCACTATGGTTGTACATTTTACAGGTGTAAAACAATCAAGAATTGTAACAGATCAGTAGGTAGATTAACGTCAGACACAACTTCCAGTGAAAATAAGTTTCATGCTGAGCGTCTGAAAGCGTGTACTATCTGTTCGTAAGAATCCATGATCACATTAGTATGTACTGTACAATACAGTGGTAAATGGAGTCCTACCTTTTCAACTGGGGACATACCCCCATAAAGCTTATTTTCATGGCTCACATAGCCATATAATAAAGGCCTAGTTCATGAAAGATGACAGCATGTAATATACAAGTATAGATACCCAAACAGAAACATTCAAATGATATAAAGCAGTAACACATCAGGTTTAATTATTAATGAATGGCCTGGTCATTTTTACAGGTGCTCTTTACAGTTAGAACTCATTTTCATGATGACGAGTTCCTCTTTTTGAATATGTATTTTAAGGTTGCAGTTCACAAAGTAGCGGCCAGTTAGTGAGCGGTTCCATTTGAAGCACCTGTGCTCATTACAAGGTCCTTACAGATCGTTTTCTCTACTATACATACAAAATAATACATTTTGATAATAACTTCTTAAATCTTAACCGGTGACCATGCCTTCGTGTCACACAGACTGCATTGAAAAACCGGTGTCAAATTGGTTTCATAAACTTGGAGGTTTTGTTGGGAGAAATCCATGGTGGTTTCTACTTGTCCCTTTGTTCATCTCTGCGGGGCTTGGGGCAGGATTTTACTTCCTTGAAGAGAGAGAGGCACATGGCATAGAGGACCAGTTTACCCCAAAGGACGGGCCTGCAAAAAAGGAGAGACATTTTGTCAAAGAACATTTTCCTCAGAATGATTCAGAGTTCTCTCGTTTGCGGCTGTATACCGAGGGGAGCTATGGGTCTTTCATCGCTGTTTCAAAGTCATCGGATATCTTGAGTGAGAAGGCATTTGAGGAGATCATATATTTAGATGGAAGAGTTAGAGAGATGGGCATAGGCCATGAAAGATTAACTTATGAAAACCTTTGTGCCATGAAAAGTAACATAATTACATGTTAGATGCAAACTTGACCTTTCCTTTTCATAATTCAATGTTTTTGGGGACAGAACTTGGTGGAGTAGTTTTGAATTCAAGTATCATCGTTAGTGCAAAGGCTGTTAGACTCTTCTACTTTCTCAGAGAAAACAACAAGGCAGAAAATGATATTTGGCTACATGGGTTTACTCAAGTGTTTTCCAACTTGTCAGATGAATTGAACAAGGCAAATTCAGAACTGTCTGGGCATACTGCCAGGTTTGGTCAAATACTTTTGTCCATATGTATACAACTATTGAGTGGCTTTACTTATTTGAGCCATATATAATTAGATTACTTATATTCCCTGAAATATAAAAAGGAATGTTTAGTTAAATACTCTGTTCCTAAACTTAACCCTCTACAGTTTTCACTTAGTCTCACAGTATTTGCATTTGTTTTTATATCGGCAGATTCAAGTTTCATATTTCACGTCTAATTCTAGAGAGGAGGAGTTGAAGGGAAACTCAAAATCTGTGATTCCTCTCTTCTCCGTCGCATACTTCCTGGCCATAAGTTTTTCCATGATATCTTGCTTGAGGTAATTTGATGTCTTATGTGTCATCTTTTAAATGAATCAAAATCAGCAAATGTGTGCACCATGTTAAAACACTAATTTAAATTACTATTTAATTGAATATATAATTGCTATGTGTGATGTACCGTATGAAGTAAGAATATTTTCATCTCTAGGTTGGACTGTGTGAGGAACAAGGTGTGGGTGGCCAGCTTTGGTGCTCTGTCTGCAGGCCTAGCAGTGCTGTCCAGTTTCGGGTTGTTGCTGCTCTGTGGAATGCCCTTTGCCATGACTGTTGCAACTGCTCCTTTCTTAATACTTGGTAAAGTTTTTTCTTCAGATACCTTAGATGGTTATCTTAACAACCCAGAACCAAATCTCACGTGATTTTAATGTTTTTGTCTGTCACACGAGACTACTTAGATGGTAACGCTTTACCTTAAGTTGCCCTTATACCTGTGTAACTACACAGTAATAACTGTATTAACAACATTGTATTAACATGTAGTAACATTGTAACTAATAAAGTTTGGCGGTATTTATTACAGTGGTAATTCCCTCTAATGATCTTTGTTCTACTGATGTGTTGTTCCATATACTCTATGTTGATTGCAGGAATTGGTGTTGACGACATGTTCATCATGATTTCCTGCTGGCAGCAGACTCAGGTTCATGACAACGTAGAGGACCGTATGGCAGCTACATACAAAGACGCAGCTATCTCTATCACCATCACAACACTAACTGATGCCCTGGCCTTCTATATTGGTCTGTTAACTCCCTTTGGTTCTGTACAATCCTTTTGTATGTATACTGGCACAGCTGTCCTGTTCTGCTACTTGTACAATATTACCTTCTTTGGTGCATTTCTGGCACTGAATGGAAGACGTGAAAAGGGCAACAGACACTGGCTGACATGCATGAAGGTTCCAGAACCAGAGGATAGTCCTGAAAAGTACAATATCTGCTGTGTAGGAGGGGCATATGACCAGGAAACGGGAAAAGAGGAAGTTATGCCAATTAACAACTTCTTTAAGATGTACTATGGGCCATTTCTAACAAATACTTGGACCAAGGTGTTTGTGATCCTGCTCTATGCTGGATATTTGGGCTCAAGTATCTATGGTTGCTTCCAAATCCAAGAAGGCATTGACCTTAAAAACCTAGCAGCCAATAGCTCATATGTGGGTAGCTATTATGATAATGAGGACCAGTACTTTTCACAGTATGGTCCAAATGTAATGGTTGTTGTGACTGACAGTGAGTTTCAATATTGGAACGAAAGTTTTCGGAATAGTCTTGACTCCTGTCTTCAAAACTTTGGAGGTCTATCAATGGTTTCTCAAAATATGATCATATCTTGGCTCGATGAATATCTTAAATTTGGAAAGATGGCCAATTTGAGTCTGTGAGGAAAATACATTCAAAAGTAATCTGTCTGCATTTCTTGAGATGTCCGATTTCATACATGATGTGAATTTTACCGAAATCAAAATATATGCGTCACGTATGTTCATTTAGACAATCAATGTCAGCACATCAGTTGAAGAAAAGAACATGTTGAATGAACTTCGAGTGATGGCTAAGTCAGATGATTGTCCAGGTTCCTTGTTAGTTTACCACCCTGCTTTCATATACTATGACCAGTATGCAGTGATAGTTTGCAATACCATCCAAAATGTTGTTGTTGCTACCTTAGTCATGCTTGTAATTGCTCTCCTATGGATCCCCAACCCCATATGCTCTCTGTGGGTAACCTTTGCCATTGCCTCTGTCATAGTGGGTGTTGCTGGTTTCATGGCATTTTGGCATATCAATCTAGACTCTGTATCCATGATCAATCTTGTAATCTGCATTGGTTTCTCAGTGGACTTTTCTGCTCATATTTCATATGCCTTTGTCTCTAGCGAAGAGCCGACAGCTAACAAGAAAGCAATTGATGCCATCACCAACTTGGGGTATCCCATCTTACAGGGAGCTGTGTCTACTATTTTAGGAGTAGTGGTGCTGTCTGCTGCTGAGAGCTACATCTTCAGAACCTTCTTTAAGATCATGTTCCTGGTGATTTTGTTTGGGGTACTTCATGGCATCGTTTTCATCCCTGTGTTTCTGACCTTCTTTGGCATATGCAATATTAATTGACCAAGATTCACACACAACACACTAATCATGGTTGAAAGGGTTGGTAGAATAGTAGTTAAATTGTTTTAATGAACTGACTTGTTAGCTTACTTATAATCTTGCGATTATGTCATACTTTGCTTTTATGGTATCAAAATATGTATTTTTATGAGTCATCTTTTGTTTTTATTTAATCATTTTAGAAATAGTTTGTAATGTAAATGCTGTGTTGATTGTTACTACAGTGTGCTTATATTTACCTTTGTTGTAATTGTGTTTTAAAAAGCTAATAAAATGATCTCAAATTATATATTGTCTTTTACATATTTATTCAAACAACAGATGCTCTCGGTTGTCATTATGACCACATCAATAATGGGAAGTATTATTATGGTTAGTAACAGTGCTGAGTTTGCATACTAAACTTATGATGTAATCTATTTAACTGTTCGCCTATTCTAGAGATACACCCTCTTCAGAAACATTTCAAATGAACCTGTTCGTCAGTGTTCATCACCCCAAATATCCATCATTGCATGGCAATAATCAGTTAGCTTCCTTCATCTTCAGAATATTTTGTATAACTTAACTATTATAAGGAAACCAGAGCAGTACCTACCATAGCTATAATAAGGAAACTGGATACGTAACCCGCATTTGTTAATATGTAACCATATTTATTGCTCTGACACAGTCATCGTGGTTGTTATAGGATCACAGAGACATGTCCAGGGCTGTCAGAGCTATTGATTAGAACTCTTCAGAGGAACGTTATCGTGTTGCTATGTTCAGATGAAGTATAGTTTATGGCTGTGATGTCAACAGAGATGCATTACATTTACATTTACGTCATTTAGCAGACACTCTTATCCAGAGCGACTTACAGTTAGTGAATACATATTTTTTTTATACTGGCCCCCCGTGGGAATCGAACCCACAACCCTGGCGTTGCAAACGCCATGCTCTATCAACTGAGCTACATCCCTGCCGGCCATTCCCTCCCCTACCCTGGACGACGCTGGGCCAATTGTGCGCCGCCCATGAGTCTCCCGGTCGCGGCCGGCTGCGACAGAGCCTGGATTCGAACCAGGATCTCTAGTAGCACAGTAGCACAGTTAGCACTGCGATGCAGTGCCTTAGACCACTGCGCCACTCAGGAGATGCAGATATAATTCAAGGCAAGTTTTTTTTTCTAATAGTACAACTTGAAAAAGAGAATAGAAAATGGCTAGGTGCAAAACAGATTGCGTAGAGAAGCCTATAGCTAGGGGATTTGAAATACTTGGGGGCTTTGTTGGTAGACACCCCTGGTGGTTTTTGATTCTTCCCATGTTCATCTCTGCGGGTCTTGTGGGAGGATTTTACTTCCTTGCGGACAGAGAAGCAAACGGCATTGAAGAGATGTTTACTCCTATGAATGGACCTGCCAAAGAGGAACGACAAGTAGTCAAAGAATACTTTCCACAGAATGATGGCGACTTCTCTCGTTTGCGACTCTATACTGAAGGGACCTTTGCATCTCTCATAATTGTTAAGCCTGGAGCAAATATCCTCACAATTACTGCTTATACAGAAATATTGGAAATGGATAGAAATGTAAAAAGTATGACAATTGGTGCATTAGCATTTGAAGACCTATGTGTTAAGAAAGGTGGTGTGTGTGTGTCAAATTCAATCATTGATATTATTAAAACCAACACAACAACGATTAATTATCCATATCATGGCAAAATTTTCATTGCATCTGAAATTGGTGGTGTGAAACTGAAAAGTGGATTAACTGAAATTGATAGCGCAGAGGCAATTAGACTATTTTACTTCTTAAAAGAAGACAACCAGACTATAAATACCATGTGGCTACAGAAGTTTATAGAGACTGCTTCCAAGATGAAAAAAGAAGGCGTGAGTACTCCGTTTTAGAGATGAAACACTTCTCATTAAGCTCCATAGAAACCATGTAGTGTCATGATAATTTGATTATTCTACTATCTTGAGTTGTTTTACTAATATGTTAACTGGATATCTTATGTTTTTATATTCTTATTTGTCTTTGCAGATGACAATATCTTACTTTACCTCAATATCAAGGGATGACGAGTTTGAGAAGAGTTCTGACTCAATCATACCTCTCTTCTCATTGACATATGCCCTGGCCATCAATTTTTCAATCATATCTTGTTTGAGGTATGTTTTGTAATTTTTACATTTCAATACCATTCAACATTATCAATCAACATTGGACACCTCAATTGAAAAATCTGTTTAACAGTGTTCATTAGGCCTATCTGAAGCCAGATTTGGGTCCCAAATCAGGCGAATCCACAATGTGACTGCATTACTGTTTTTAAGGCATATCAGAGAACTCTATGCCTACTTATCAGCATTTACCTACATGGACGAATGTTGTGTTTTTGTGTTTTTCTTCCCTAGGTTGGACTGTGTGAGGAACAAGGTGTGGGTGGCAACCTTTGGTGTTCTCTCATCTGGTATGGCAGTGCTGTCCAGTTTTGGGTTGTTGCTGTACTGTGGGATGCCCTTCGCTATGACTGTGGCAACAGCTCCATTCCTGATTCTGGGTAAGCTTACAAATTGTTATACAATAAACCCAGTGCTTAATTTGAGCCGGATCCTGCCGGAACAGGATCCGGTGTGGTGAAACTGAGGATTTGTCGCCACAAATGGTTTGTTTACATAGCAGGTTAGGAAAACTAATGTAGCAGGTAAGGATAATTAACGTGGCAGGTTAGGTGAATTAACATGGTAGGTTAGGAGAACTAACGCAGCAAGTTAGGTGAATTAACGTAGCAGGTTAGGAGAATTAGGTTAAGGTTAGGAAAAAGGTTAGGCTTAGCTAGAATGCTACAGTTGTCAACGATGCGACCACTAGACAGAGCTGTAAGTCTACTCCATCTAGCCACAATGGTAGAAATGTAAACAAACCATCTGTGGTACAAATCATCTATCATAACATCGGCTCGGGCTTATGGTTTGCGCAACATCGTAGCTCCAGAACCTCTGGCTGAAACTAGCCAGCTAGCCAGCTAACTAGCTACTTGCTATTAGCCACCGTTAGCGGTCTTCACCATTGTCCGTGGCAGTGGCCTGCACTACCTACCAGCCAGCTCTAGCCTGGACAATTATCTGCCAGTCTGCACATCGCACTATCGAGCCAGAGCATATCGGATTTTCTGCCGGAATCACTGAATCACTGGACCTTAACACCGGATCATCGCAACTAGCTAGCTGCAACCAAATGGCTGTTGTCGTTGTTGGCTAATCACCACTGTCCTGAAGCTAACCCCAGTTAGCCTTGAGCTAGCCTCGAGCCAGGCCCATCTCCCGGCTATCTACCTCTCTGTCAACTGGACGGGACCTCCTAGTGTTGACACGGAGCCCCGCCGATCCATCACGACTGGTCTGCCGACGTAATCGTCTGATGTAGTTTCAACAGGCTTCCCGTTGCGACGACCACGAAGATCCATCTGCTAGCCCCGGCCCGCTAGCACACGCAATCAACAGCCGTGCCTCCAGCTCGCCTGTAGCGTAGCAGCCACTGAACTGCTCCCGGACTTACTTATTGCTGTTCACTGGACCTTATGATCACTCAGCTACACAGCTGATGCCTGCTGGACTGTTCCTTTATACGGTACCCCATCCTGTTTATCTGTTTAGCCTCAGCTCAAACTTTCGTCGCCATTACCAGCTGTTGTCTTAGCTCTCTCGAATAACACCTGTGACTGCTTTATGCCTCTCTCCCATGTCAATATGCCTTGCTTATTGCTGTTTCGGTTAGTTCTAACTGTACTTTTTCAATGTAGAGCCCCCAGTCCTGCTCAACCTGTCTCAGATAGCTCCTTTGTCCCACCCCCCACACACGCAGAGACCGGCTCACTCGGTGCCTCCAGTGATGCTATCTCTTTCATCTTTACCCTACGCTTAGGTTTACCTCCACTGTACTCATATCCTTCCATATCCTTGTCTGTACATAATGCCCTGAATCTATTCTAGATAGAACTGCCAAAGGGGGCAGAGTTGCAATCTACAGTAGAGATAGCCTGCAGAGCTCTATCATACTATCCAGGTCTGTGCCCAGACAGTTTGAGCTTCTACTTCTAAAAATCCACCTTTCCAGAAATAAGTCTCTCACTGTTGCTGCTTGCTACAGACCCCCTTCAGCCCCCAGCTGTGCCCTGAACACCATATGTGAATTGATTGCCCCCCATCTATCCTCAGAGTTCGTATTGCTTGGTGACCTAAACTGGGATATGCTTAACACCCCGGCCGTCCTACAATCTAAACTAGATGCCCTCAATCTCACACAAATTACAGTATCAAGGAACCTACCAGGTACAACCCTAAATCCGTTAACATGGGCACCCTTATAGATATCATCCTGACTAATCTACCCTCTATATACACCGCCGCTGTCTTCAACCAGGATCTCAGCGATCACTGCCTCATTGCCTGCGTCCGTAATGGGTCCGCGGTCAAACGACCACCCCTCATCACTGTCAAACGCTCCCTAAAACACTTCAGCAAGCAGGCCTTTCTAATTGACCTGGCCCGGGTATCCTGGATGGATATTGACCTCATTCCGTCAGTAGAGGATGCCTGGTTGTTCTTTAAAAGTGCTTTCCTCTCCATCTTAAATAAGCATGCCCCATTCAAAAAATTCTGAACTTAGAACAGATATAGCCCCTGGTTCACCCCAGACTTGACTGCCCTTGACCAGCACAAAAGCATCCTGTGGCATACTGCATTAGCATCGAACAGCCCCTGCGATATGCAACTTTTCAGGGAAGTCAGGAACCAATATACACAATCAGTTAGGAAAGCAAAGGCTAACTTTTTCAAACAGAAATTTGCATCCTGTAGCACTAACTCCAAAAAGTTTTGGGACACTGTAAAGTCCATGGATAATAAGAGCACCTCCTCCCAGCTGCCCACTGCACTGAGGCTAGGAAACACTGTCACTACCGATAAATGTACGATAATCAAACATTTCAACAAGCATTTTGCTACGGCTGGCCATGCTTTCCACCTGGCTAACCCTAACCCGGCCACCAGCTCTGCACCCTCCGCTGCAACTTGCCCATGCCCCCACCTGCATCTCCTTCACCCAAATTCAGATAGCTGATGTCCTGAAAGAGCTGCAAAATCTGGACACCTACAAATCAGCTGGGCTAGAAAATCTGGACCATTTCTTTCTAAAATTAGCTGCCGAAATTGTCGCAACCCCTATTACCATTTACATTACATTTTTTTACATTTTAGTCATTTACCAGCCTGTTGAACCTCTCTTTCGTATCGTCCGAGATCCCCAGAGATTGGAAATCTGCCGCAGTCATCCCCCTCTTCAAAGGGGGTGACACTCTAGATCCAAACTGTTACAGACCTATATCCATCCTGCCCTGCCTTTCGAAAGTATTTGAAAGCCAAGTTAACAAACAGATCAACGACCATTTCGAATCCCACCGTACAGTACTGTGCAGCCGTCTTCATTGACCTGGCCAAGGCTTTTGACTCTGTCAATCACAGCATTCTTATTGGCAGACTAAATAGCCTTGGTTTCTCAAATGACTGCCTCGCCTGGTTCACCAACTACTTCTCAGATAGAGTTCAATGTGTCAAATCGGAGGGCCTGTTGTCTGGACCTCTGGCAGTCTCTATGGGGGTGCCACAGGGTTAAATTCTCGGGCCGACTCTATTCTCTGTGTATATCAATGATGTCGCTCTTGCTGCTGGTGATTCTCAGATCCACCTCTACGCAGACGACACCATTTTGTATACATCTGGCCCTTCATTGGACACTGTGTTAACAAACCTCCAAATGAGCTTTAATGCCATACAACACTCCTTCCGTGGCCTCCAACTGCTCTTAAACGCTAGTAAAACTAAATGCATGCTCTTCAATCGAATGCTGCTTACACCCGCCTGCCGACTAGAATCATTACTCTCGGCGGGTCTGACTTAGAATATGTGGACAACTACAAATACCTAGGTGTCTGGTTAGACCGTAAACTCTCCTTCCAGACTCACATTAAGCATCTCCAATCAAAAGTTACATCTATAATCAGCTTCCTATTTCGCAACAAAGCCTCCTTCACTCATGCTGCTAAATATGCCCTCATAAAACGGACTCTCCTACCGATCCTTGACTTCGGCGATGTCATTTACAAAATAGCTTCCAACACTCTACTCAGCAAATTGGATGTAGTCTATCACAGTGCCATCCGTTTTGTCACCAAAGCCCCATATACTACCCACCATTGTGACCTGTACCCTCTCGTTGGCTGGCCCTCACTACATATTCGTTGCCAAACCCACTGGCTCCAGGTCATCTATAAATCACTTCTAGGCAAATCCCCGCCTTATCTTAGCTCATTGGTCACCATAGCAACACCCACCCGTAGTATGCGTTCCAGCAGGTATATCTCACTGGTCATCTCCAAAGCCAACACCTCCTTTGGTCGCCATTCCTTCCAGTTCTCTGCTGCAAATTACTGGAACGAACTGCAAAAATCTCTGAAGCTGGAGAGACTTATCTCCCTCACTATCTTTAAGCATCAGTTGTCAGAGCAGCTTACCGATCACTGCACCTGTACACAGCCCATCTGTAATTAGCCCACCCAACTACCTCATCCCCATATTGTTATTTACATTGTTATTTATTTTGCTCATTTGCACCCTAGTATCTCTATTTGCACATCATCTTCTGCACATCTATCACTCCAGTAATAATACTAAATTATAATTGTAATTATTTTGCACTATGGCCTATTTATTGCCTTACCTCCATAACTTACTACATTTGCACACACTGTATATAGATTTTCTATTGTGTTATTGACTGTACGTTTTGTTTATTCCATATGTAACTAAAGCAAATGGCTCCTGCTGAAAAGAGAAGAGTCCAATCTGTCTGTAGGCTACCAAAATATTATAGCAACTTCCAAATAGGCCTATTGATCGAACAGTAGCCTAGGTACAAAGTAAAACAAGAGGGAGATCCCACTGGGCACACACTGGTTGAATCAACGTTGCTTCAACAGGATTTGTCAACATATTGTGACGTGGAATCAACGTGGAAAATTCATTGGATTTGAAAAAAGCCATCAACCAGTACTGTTTTTGTCTCATTTCAACCAGCATTGTAAAGATTGAAATAAGGGTAAAACATCAACTTAAATACATTGACCAACCTTACTAACAGGTTGTTACATCAATCTAATTTCAACATAATCATCAGAACTATGAGTACGTTGAAATTGTGTTGAAAATTCCACAAACTTTTTCATCCTGTATATTGGGGTGGTTGAAATTATATATAATGTTTGATTTGATTAGACACATTTTATTTGAATCAACGTCATTGTTTCAATGTCATGCTATCAACCTAAATAATTAGGTATATTGAAATGAAATGTGAAGCCACAATCCAATGATTTCTGCCTGAACATTGACTCCTACTGGTATAGTGGTTAGAGTGTTGGGCCAGTAACCAAAAGTTTAGAATCCCTGAGCTGACAATACTTTTATCTTGGATATTGTCTTGTATATGAAGGATGGTTGGTTGATTTCACATTTAATCTAGAAGTTATTCACATCTCCATCCCAACCAAAAATCTAAGTTGAAGAATAGTACTAAATTAAATAACATTTTGGGTTGACATGGAGACGTGAATCCAACATATTAATCTGAAAAACTGGATATTGAATTGTGAACGCAACCAAATATCAACATTTGAAAGAGATGTATCTTCTGTTTGGATAGTGTACTGTATATTATGAATAACATATATAAAAGACAATATACAGAGGTACAAGTTTATTACTATTTATACAGTGAGGGAAAAAAGTATTTGATCCCCTGCTGATTTTGTACGTTTGCCCACTGACAAAGAAATTATCAGTCTATAATTTTAATGGTAGGTTTATTTGAACAGTGAGAAACAGAATAACAACAAAAAATCCAGAAAAACATTTTCTCAAAAAAGAACGTTTTTTTTATCAATTAGTATATTTGAGTTTAACCACAATATTTGTTGCAATATTTGTTCTGTCATTTCTGTAGGATTAAATTGAAATTGCAACCAAATTTCAATGGCTTGTTTTAGAAATAGTGATATTTGGGAGATGATTTCCTTTTCAAATACCTGAAAGTGAGGGGTTGTAATCTGAATAAAGGGAAAAAGTCCCTTCTTGAACATTGGGTGAGACAATCTTACTAGTTTGCTAGAGAACCAGTTCGGATTTAAGTATAATTTTTGTATGACTGAAGCTTTTAGTGATAGGTCTAATGCTTTCATATTTAATAATTTCTGTCCTCCTAATTCATATTCATTATATAAATAGGCCCGTTTAATTTTGTCTGGCTTGCCGTTCCAAATAAAATTGAATATTTTTTTCTCATATAATTTAAAAAACAGTTCGCTAGGCATAGGCAAGACCATAAGCAAATAGGTAAACTGGGACAACACCAAAGAGTTAATCAGGTTGATTTTTCCACAAATTGACAGGTATTTACCTTTCCATGGTAGCAAGATTTTATCTATTTTTGCTAACTTTCTATTACATTTTTTTGGAGTGAGATCATTTATTTCATTTGGGATATGTATTCCGAGTATATCCACATCACCATCAGACCATTTTATTGGTAAACTACATGGTAATGTACATTTTTTATTTTTTAGTGATCCAATACGTAATATAGTACATTTATCATAATTTGGTTGTAATCCAGAGAGGTTAGAAAATGTATCTAGATCCTCTATGAGGCTTTTGGTACTTAAGCATATCTAAAACCAAATACTTTTAGACTTTTACTTAAGTAGTATTTTACTGGGTGACTTTCACTTTTACTTGAGTCATTTTCTATTAAGGTATCTTTATTTTTACTCAAGTATGACAATTGGGCACTTTTTCCACCACTGGATGTGTGAAACTTCTGTAAGCGCCTCTACTCTACTGCTCTATATGAAAATGCGATGATATCCATGCAATGCTTTATTATACAACAAATTTATAATTATGCGTTCCGGTCCCTCACTATTTGTTCCGGCACCTCCCGATTGACCTGTACTCTGATGTGATCACAGGAATGAACACAGGTATAAACTAGGTCTGACATTTTATAAAAGAGTGCATTTTCTCCACAGGAATTGGTGTTGACGACATGTTCATCATGATTTCCTGCTGGCAGCAGACTCAGGTTCATGACAACGTAGAGGACCGTATGGCAGCTACATACAAAGATGCAGCTGTCTCGATCACCATCACAACACTAACTGATGCCCTGGCCTTCTATATTGGTCTGTTAACTCCCTTTGGTTCCGTACAATCCTTTTGTATGTATACTGGCACAGCTGTCCTGTTCTGCTACTTGTACAATATTACCTTCTTTGGTGCATTTCTGGCACTGAATGGAAGACGTGAAAAGGGCAACAGACACTGGCTGACATGCATGAAGGTTCCAGAACCAGAGGAGAACACTAAAAAGTACAACCTTTGTAGTATAGGGGGAGCTTATGATCATAAAACGGGAAAAGAGGAACCTATGCCCATTAACAACTTCTTTAAGATGTACTATGGGCCATTTCTAACAAATACTTGGACCAAGGTGTTTGTGATCCTGCTCTATGCTGGATATTTGGGCTCAAGTATCTATGGTTGCTTCCAAATCCAAGAAGGTATAGACCTTAAAAACCTAGCAGTTGATAGCTCATATGTAGGTAGCTATTACGATAATGAGGATCAATACTTTTCAGAGTATGGTCCAAATGTTATGGTTATTGTGACTGACAGCGAGTTTCAATATTGGGACGAAACTGCTCGAAAGAGTCTTGATACTTGTCTCAGAAGTTTTGAGAGTCTAACATTGGCTGGTCAATCATTGGTTGCTAAAGATATGACCCTTTCTTGGCTTAATGAATATGTAAAAGCGGGTGTAGTTTCAAATCCAAATAACGAAACCATTTTCATGGATAGTTTACCTACATTTTTACAACAATCAGGTTTCACACAAGATGTGAATATTTCAAACAAAGTCATAATTGCCTCACGTTTGTTTATTCAGACAATCAACGTCAGTACAGCTGTTGATGAAAAGAACATGTTGAATAAGCTTCGAGAGACAGCTAATGGTTGTCCAGGAAAGTTGGTTGTTTACCACCCTGCTTTCATATACTTTGACCAGTATGCAGTCATTGTTAGTAATACCATCCAAAACATTGTAGTTGCCACTCTTGCTATGCTGGTGATCTCCCTCATGTTGATCCCCAACCCCATATGTTCTCTGTGGGTGACCTTTGCCATTGCCTCTGTCATAGTGGGTGTTGCTGGTTTCATGGCATTATGGGATGTCAATCTAGACTCTGTATCCATGATCAATCTTGTCATATGCATTGGTTTCTCAGTGGATTTTTCTGCTCACATTTCCTATGCTTTTGTCTCTAGCAAAGAGCCGACAGCTAATAAAAAGGCTGTAGATGCTGTCTATCACTTGGGGTATCCCATCTTACAGGGAGCTGTGTCTACTATTTTAGGAGTGGTGGTGCTGTCTGCTGCTAAGAGCTACATCTTTAGAACCTTCTTTAAGATCATGTTATTGGTCATTTTGTTTGGGGCAGTCCATGGTATAGTGTTTATCCCAGTGTTTCTGACCTTCTTTGGAATCTGCAGAGGCAAAGTCAGTGATAAAAAAGATGTAGATGGTAGGTCTAACACCTTGTCTCAAAGAGGTCACATGTGGGTCACCCAAACCACAGGGGATTTCAACATGAAGAATGTGCATGAATTAAGGGCTGTAGCAGCTAATTCAAATGTATGTTCAATCAGTTCTAACCAACGCTCACATTATTCTTCACATCGTGCTAACGGGAAAACTAATAGTGCTTATGAAAACATTGAAGACTGCCCCTAAAACGGTTGTCTTGAGGCCAGATTTACAAGGCATTTCCACTGTACCCGTTTTTTTGTTTTTATGGAATTAATTAAATATTAAAAGGTAGAACAAACAGATTAAAAACTGTACAAAAAACGTTTACGAGAGGGAATAACCCATTATGGTCAAGTGTAAATGAACACACATTCATGTTTTAGCTTTGTTTTATTTCATTCAGCTCTATGCAGTTGGGGCAAGTACAGTAGTTGTAAAGTGATGGAATGAATCTACAAAATAACCAATTATAAATGACATATCAATCATTGATGATTTATTGTGTTTCAAATCCCTAAATCATTGCACAAAATGTCCACCTACAGTAAATATCAATTGAAAAGGTAGGGAATATTTTCACTGTTTCTGTCATTCGTTTTGTTTCATGTAGAAGTACTGTAACATAAAATCAAATGTTAATTTGTTCATTTTGTAAAATTTCATTTTTATTTAGTTGACTCTAATTGTGAAATCTTGTCATCATTGTAATACGTTTAAGGATAAAGATGTTTTTTGTTGTGTTTTTAATAAAGAAATGAAGGAAATCCTCATTCTATGTTTATTCTTTTCCTGCATTAGATACATTTAGGTAGCAAGAATGACTAAAGTCTTCTCAGTGACAGCCAACATCCACACCATATGGCCTATACATTAGATGCAAATGCAGAATAATTTCATACATTTTAAATAAAAGTATTGACTATTAGGCCTTTTTTTAAGGTAGTTACTTCCACACTTTCTTTAAAATGTGTAGGGAGGACAACATTTTTGTTTTTTAACTAAACAAATTGTTAATCAAGTAAGTACAAGTCTCGCAAGTTAGTCAGCATACCACAGCAGATCAAGACAGTTCACTCCAAAATCAAAGTTTGTCAGATGTTTTCAGACATCTGCAAAAGTGGTGCTAAAATTAAGCCATGCCCAAGGCCATCTGTTGTACAGTGTATTCAATACATTTATACAATACAACATACAATACAACATTAATGAAAACGTTAGTAGTAGCTGTTGTGTCCTATGACATTTTCAATCTCTTCCTAGCTCAGGCCTCTATACCCACCTGCTTCAAGATGTCCACTATCATCCCCGTGCCCAAGAAAGGGAAAGTAACTGAACTGAATGACTACCGACCAGTAGCACTCACTTCCGTCATCATGAAGTGCTTCGAGAGGCTAGTCAAAGACCATATCACCTCCTCCCTCCCCGACATACTCAACCCTCTCCAATTCGCCTACCGCCCTGACAGATCCACGGACGACGCAATTTCCATTTCACTGCACACTGCCCTTACCCACCTGGACAAAAGGAATGCATATGTGAGGATGCTGTTCATCGACTACAGCTCGGCCTTCAATACCATAGTGCCCTATAAGCTCATTACAAAGCTCACAGCCCTGGGTCTGAACTCCTCCCTATGCAACTGGGTCCTGGACTTCCTGACAGGCCGCCCGAGGTGGTGAAGGTAGGCAACACTACCTCCTCGACACTGATCCTCAACACAGGGGCCCCACAAGGGTGCGTCCTCAGTTCCCTCCTGTATTCTCTGTATATCCACGACTGCGTGGCCTCACACAGTTCCAACTCCATCGTCAAGTTCGCTGACGACACAACAGTAGTAGGCCTGATCACCAACAACGACGAGACAGCCTACAGGGAGGAGGTGGGCCCTCTGACAGCGTGGTGCCAGGTAAAATACCTCTCCCTCAACATTAGCAAAACAAAGGAGCTGATTGTGGACTTGAGGAGGAACCAGGCTGGACACGCCCCCATCCTCATCAACGTGGCCGCCGTGGAGACGGTCAATAACTTCAAATTCCTCGGCGTACACATCTCAGAGAAGCTAAAATGGTCTCATCACACAGACACCGTAGTGAAGAAGGTGTGGTGTATTAACATTATGACTGTTTCATGAAGAAATGGAATGTTGTTTATGTTAGTATTAAAAGGGAATGTTTTAGGTGTAACGCCACATACAACCGACAGGAAGTGTGTTGTAGACAGGGGAGACTGGTGATTGGCCAGAAGAGGGAGCATCATTGTTTATAAATAGGGGGGAAAACGAAGGAGAGGGCAGAACGAGCAGCCATTCTGAGGCGTCGCTCTCCGGGTGTCATGTCACCTGTAACTTATGCTGTAACCTCGTGATTTTAATAAAAGCCTCTAACACGATGCAGCATAAACGGACTCTTTGTTGACAGCAATAATATGCCACCATTCACCCGATACGACATAATGGCGCCCAACGTGGGGCTGGTCTGCGCCTCTTCTTTGTTTCAGTCAACCGCCAGGCTAACTCGCTTTGAAGCATGGCCAAACAAGGGTGAGTTTTTCTTATCGCTTCGGAGTTTGTTAGATTGGATACGACTTGTGTACACTTGAGAGATGTACCATTACGACCTTGCCTCGGGTGGCGTTATTGCTGATGACTAGAGTCTGTTAAAATATATTCCATTGGAAACGGCAGATAATTGGAAGTTTTAGAGCATAAAACGGTAGGAATTAAGTATTGAAGTGTACAATTAAGGCAGATATGCGCATTCTTTAGGGCACTGTACCGCTTAAGACCCCCAGGGGGGGCCATTTTAGATGTTGGGCCGGCAAATCCGTTTGCACGATAGAATGGGCAGACGGTGGGTTTTTTAAAAGGAGAACTCGGATTAATGGGGTTTATCTGATTGTGATTATGATTCGACTCTCGTCCGACGGGGGGTTTGTTGGGTTTGATTTCTCGGTGTAATGCTCATTAAGTCCCGGTAGCAAAAACGGTAGGATAAATATGTTTAAAATTGATAGGGCAGTGCAGGATATTTATTTGTATGGTAGGCCGCAGTTAGCTAAAGGCTAAGGCTAATTCTAAATGCTTGATTATGTGTCAGGCCACGTGGTACATCGTGGCTAAGGCTAATTCTAAATGCTGAAGTGTGGGTCATGCTACATTCTACATAGCAGCTAAGGCTAATACTAAATGCTAATTGTGTTGCGTGCTACATGCTAATGGATATCCTTAGAGACCCCATTGCGATGGATTAAAGTCTCTTAAACTTGTCTCTGTGTGTAAGTCAGGTTATATGTTTTGTGAGCGCTGTTAAATGTTGTTTGACTATAAGGGGGAAACGGGAGGTACAGCTGGACTGTTATTCTGTCTGTTTGGGGAGGGAGTAGAAAATCTTCCTTCCACGGTGAAAAGGTATTTTTGAATGGCTGTGCGCATGTGCATGATTTTGCGACACTACACTACAGAAAGGGGGAGTTTATGACACGAGATTAGGACACGTTTTGGTTTACGGCACTAAAACTACGACATGCGGTTGTGCTAAGCCTACAAAACACTGCATTATGGGTAAAGGTCATAGGTCCCATCTGGGGGCTGCAGGGGGAGACAGAGAAACACACAGACAAAGAGATATTTGGACACGAGTATTCTAGTTGTTACATCTGCGGCTGGTTAAAGATGAAACTTGTTTTGTGACCTATTGAATTTATAAATTAAATATATGTTGACGGAGTATAATTAATTAAATTAAATGACGGATTAAAATAAAATAAAAATGTTTTTGAGCGATCTATTTAGTTCTGAGGTTAGTCTTAGAGTGAATAATGGGTGAACGAAGGAATATTGAATATGGTTGAAATAACTCAGTGATTGCATTAACTACTAAAATGTGATTCTGTGTCTCTGTTTTTCTGTCATATGAGAGAGCAATACGATACGACAGGAGAGAGGAGGGGCTAGCGTGTGACTGACGTGCGTCACGTGACAAGGTGTGACGCGGCAGAGGATCAGATATCAGGCTAGTTCACAAAATCATCCCTAACAAAATATGTGATGTTATGACAATTTTACATAGGCTTGGCAAATGATTCTTTAAAAATTGCATTTTGGAGGCTCTGTGCATCACTGGGGTTTGATTGGAGTTGTGTTGGGAATCAAGGATTGACATTATTCTGTAAATTTAAGATACTTGGGTGCATATTAAACAATGGAGTTTATGGTTACATTTACTTTCCTGATGGATTGTGGTAAGATAGCCATTAAATTGATAAATGGGTAAGTTAGGATATAGAAATAGGTTTTAAATTATTCATAATTTTTAATTGATTTTTTGATTGATTTTTTATTTTAATTAGAATTGGTTTTTGAATAAAACATTTAATTGAATTTTTTAATATTCATATTTTGATTGATATTTTTTTTTTTGGAGTTGTTAGGGTTATATTAATAATTACAGGGGGGAAGCCATAGGCTATACAGTCTAAAATAAAATAATTCACGATAAAGGAATATAAAAGGGTTGTTACAATGGGGAGAAAGGACAGCAAGGCTAGATGAAGGTGATTACACCGATTGATATAGGGAAAAAATAGTAATCCTTTAACTAAAGTAGTGTTAGAAAAACTAATGGCAGAAGTTAGTACACCTTTCTCACATACGGATTCAGCAAAAAGTAGAGCTTAGGGATGTTTATCCTCAGCTTTCGGTGATCATCCAGGAGGGTGATTGTTACATCAGAGATGAAGACGAATAATAGATAGAGGGCAAGCAGAAACGACGATGAAGATGAATCAAAACTCCAGAAGGAAGAAAATGAGATGTCTGGAAGAGAAGATTGAGGTCAAGAAAAGGCCACTAGTAAGAAGATGATGGAAGATGATATTTCGAGGACAGAACTTAGAGTATAAGCTGTTGAAGAATACTGATATGTCAACGGCGAGAAGGAACAGGACCAAGAAACTCTCTGAAAACTCAATTAAATACAACTTACAACTGGAGAAGAAGGAGAAGAGAAGCTTTGGTTATGAAGAATCAGAGTGAACCAAATCAACAATCACTGTTACAGCTTCAACTGAACAATATCAAATACAATTGTACCAGCCAAGGGGGGTACCAGATGTTCCATATCCACAGCCAGTTTCTGGACAGACACAGAATTGGAGAGGAAGAGGACGAGAAGACTTAGAAGAAGGAGGAAGATTTCAGCTACACT